TTTTTAAAAGTAAAATAAGATAGACAGCTCTTGAAGAACAATGCCTGAGGTTGACCTCTGGCTTCCACATGCATGCACACACATGCATGTGTACCTACACACACACACACACACACACACACACACAGTGGTTGCTAACAGCAACCTTGAGAGTAAGGCAGAATCATGCCCATTTCATAGTTGAGAAGACTGGGGCCCAACTAGACCTTATTTATTCACTCTCCCTTCCCATTAGTTAACACAAAGGAACCTATGCTCCAAGCCCTGAGCTGACCCTGGTGTTCAGTAACAGGTAAAGCTGTCATGGTTTGGGACGTGCACTCTGCAGTGATGGCCCTCAACCCTGCTGTGTATTAGACCACTGTGGTGATTTTAGGCTAGGAGGTGGACCCAGTTAGCTGAAGCTCTGAAAGGCCCCAGATGGGTCCCACATGCAGCCAAGATCTAAAAACACTGGCTTAAGGGAGGGCCTTTCTCTGTGTCATGAAGCAGGGGTCTGGGGTCTGAACCTGGGTTGTCTTCTGGCCTTCAGACCCTTTATCTTACCACAAAGGTGACTAAGCCAGTTTCCAAACCAAGGCAGGACCCACCAAGTTCATATTCAAAAAGAGAAGGTTCATTCAAAGGGACTGTGATAGCCAACTCTGTCCCCTGTGGCTGTGTGGGTATGGGTGAGCTACCTCCCCATGTTGAGCCTCCGCTGCCCTAGGAGTGATTTGGAGAATTAAAGGGATGTTATATCTGTCCCTAGCACCCATACAGGGCTTACACATGGCAGGCACTATATGTATTTGCTGAGTGAATGAATGAATGGATGGATGAATGAATGAATGATCATTGGACAGAAACAACCAAAGAATTCTTGTCCATCTGACACCATCAGTCTTTTAGCTAGTTCACAGTTCATCAGTCAAGCATGCTACCAGACCCTCGTTCCCACCTCCACAGGATGCCAAGACCTGCCTGACTGCCCTTGCGGCAGACCAGTGTTTTACAACAGGTGATAACTCTGCCCTCCAGGGACAGTCAGTAAAGTCTACAAACATTTATTTATTATTGGTTTGTTTGAAACAGGGTCTTACTCTGTAGCCCAGACTGACCATGAATCCTCCTGCCTCAGCCCCTGGAGTGCTAGGATTACAGGCATGTTCCACCTTGTTTATTCTCAAGAGGGGTAGAGGAGCTGTTAGCTGCTCGCAGGTAGGAGGTAGAGATGATGCTATGTCCTGGAGAGCACCGGCCAGCCCCAGTCCCCAGTGTACATAGGTTCAGCCCCAGGGCCGAGGCTGAGCAGCCTGTGCTGTGGTGCCTCAGTCCATCTCCAGTGCTTTGGGCTTTCTGCCTTCCCATGTTGGCTCCTACTGTAGCCCTGGTTTATCCTTTCCACATCCATCATTAATGCCCTTCTTAAAGACTGACTCCTTATGAGTCCCTCCCAAACCCTTCCTGGCAGTACCCACGCTCACTTATCTCACTCTGTCTCATCTTCTCAGCCTCCTTGGGACTCCCCACATTCTAGTTGTTGGGCAACTCACTGACACCCTCAGTATGTTTCTCTACCTGGAGCAAGTGCTCTGTGGTCAGAACCCTAACTGGCCAATGATTCCCTGCGTGAGGCTCAGCATACACTGGGAACCTATATCTGCTTTGTCCCACCCCGCCATCTCTCTGCTACCACTGGGAACCTATATCTGCTTGGCCCCACCCCGCCATCTCTGCTACCACTGGGAACCCATATCTGCTTGGCCCCACCCCGCCATCTCTCTGCTACCACTGGGAACCCATATCTGCTTGGCCCCACCCCACCATCTCTGCTACCACTGGGAACCTATATCTGCTTGGCCCCACCCCGCCATCTCTCTGCTACCACTGGCAGACATCACTGATTGTTCTTTCTTGCCAAACCCTGATAACAGGTCTTGGAGTCTTTCTTAGCACATTGCCCCAGGTAGACATGACTAATGGAAGGAAATTGGTACTCACGTTAAAACTCATTTTCCCCTTTCAGCCTCACTTCCCCCCGGGCTCCTCTGTGGGTCACTGGTCCTCCTCTGCAGCCCACTTGGCCACTGCCCTGGAAACTAGAGCAAAGTTTGAGGGCAGAGGGCTCAGTTGGGGATGTCTGACTGAGGTAGTATGAGGTGGCCCCTGCACTAGTCTTCCAAGTGTGGCACCCCCACCTCCATGGGGCCCCTCAAAAGAAACTCCTTGCTGCTAGGCAGTTCTGGTTTCCTGTGGCCTATTCCCACTGGCCTCTCTCTTGTCCCGCTCCCTCTCTGCCACCCCACCTTTTTACCTTTCCAACCTCAGGGTACCATGCCACTTCCTGCAGCTGAGCCTCTCCATCTCAGGTTCTCGATTCTTTACCTTCCTCCCTCTTTGTGTGCTCTTGGTGTACCCTCCCTCTCTTAGAAGGTAGTGACCACATTTCTTTTATTTCCTGTTTACTGCCTTGGTCATGGTTGGGGCTCAGTTTTTTGAATGAGTGAATGAATGAATGAATGAATGACTACACAAATGAACGGGCCATATCAAAAGTTGACCTTCCTGACCTGCCCTGCCTTAACTTCCCATTGAGTAGGTTTGGGTATCATGTGTTATGCTTGATACATTTCTAGATGAGCCATCAATTTAAAAATCCTTCTGAGCCCTTAGGACATGTTGAGAGACAAGCTGGGGAAGTTGAGGCTCAAAGAGGCTTGGTCCCATACATGTTTCTTCCTCTTTGACCCTCTGTCCTGCTCACTGCCTGTGGGATGGCAGGTGAGTTCCATGGAAAACCTTTGGGTGCAGGATCGGAGAGTGAGTTCACTTAATTATTGAGGAGGACCCTTGGGGAGCAGCCGAGGTCTGAGCACACACTGATGTCCAGACCCCCAGGCAGGGATAGGACCCCCTCCCTCCCTGCCCAAAGCCCAAATAGCATCCTGCAGACTGCGGAGCCTGTCTGTGGCTGTGGTGAGGTGATGTCTGGTTCCTCCTTGGGCACTGTAAGCGGTGATTAATCTGGCTCCCAAACCAAAATAGAGAGTGTGCTGTATTATAAACACTGGGCCTGTGGAGGCCCGCCTGCCGGGCAGCGAGGGCCCAGCCCCCTGTAATACTCCTGCCCCCTTGGCTGCTGGACACCCATCACACATGGGAAATCATTGCCCTGACTACTTTGTGGCTGGGTTGGCCCCGTAATTACTGGGGGCAGGAGAAGATAATGATTTAGAGCCCTATGTCTCTGGCCCTGTCATTAGAAGCTATTTGGTAAACACTGCTGAAGGGCTGCCAAGGAGCCCCCTCTGCACCCCACCTCCCACCTTGACTATGCACTGCCCCTGCTAGCCTAGGAATCATGTTCATGGTCATGTTCAAGACCTTCTGGGGTTCACTGATCTTAACAGCTCAGCCCAATCCAGAGGTCTAGAACTTGGGGGATAGTCCAGGCTTGGCCATGGCTTCCTGCCTGCACATCTTTTCTCTGGGCCTCAGTTTATTGCCCAATTAAGAGGGAAATTGTCAAAATGATGGCTTTGATCCCATGTGATGTGCATACTTGAGGGTTCTGGTACTGAACTCTGCCCTAAGGATGTTGTGATGACCTGGTGGCTCTGTAGACCTTCCTTGGGTGACCCTGTGGTTCTTCTGGGCTGACTCCAGACTCAGTGATTGGTGATGAAGTTTTGAGAGATTTGGACCATAATCTGGGTGCTGCCTTGGAAGCTGGGTGGCCTCAGGCATCTCTTTTCCTCAGTTTCCTCACTGGTAAGCGTGCCTGCTATTTCCTGCCTCCTAGAGGTGGCTCAATGTGCCAGTGAGCTGCCATGTTTAAGGCACTGGTATTGACTAGACACAGGGATGATCAGGTTGGATTCCACCTCTCATTCATTTCCTTCAAAGATTTGCTTTAAACTTTATCTGGGATTTCTATGCTACTTTCTTTTGGGGGAGAGCGATGCTTAAGAATTGGTTATCAGGAGAGTTTGGATGGCCAGGGATACCTGCCCTCCCATGCCCACCCACCCGTGCTTTGCAGTTCTTCAGGAATTCTTGACTCTATGAGCATACAGGTTGTTTGCAACAATTTTGTGAGTCTACGGGCTATTTGCAGGCAGAGTTTGGCAGAGTACGATTCAGAGAGGGAGATTGCTCTTGCCAAGTCACAGTCAAGAGCACAGAGCTCGCTCTGGTGCTTCTGTGGGAGAAAAGTTCTCTGCTTTTACCTCTTCATTGGCTAACGTGGAACTAGCCAATCATAGCATAGCGTACTGCATCTGTGCCCCTAGGGCTTCTGTCACAGCCTCACCCATTACTCTGACCTCTGATTGCTTCTCTATCTATACTCCTGACTCATTCTTCTCTGGTCCCATGGGTCCTCTTGTGCTTCTCCAAGCCCACTGAGAGCATTTCTACCTTGTACTGTCTGTCCCCACTGCCTGAATGCTTTTCCCAGACAGCTACCCTTCCTTCATTCAGGAAGGCTGTCTATGACCCACTGTGCAGTCACCATCTCTTGCCAGCCATGCTACTCTCTGCCCCCCTGACTTTACTCACTCTTCCTGAACAGACGTGGCTTCTCTTTGTTGTGATGAAAATATATGATATCACATTTGCCACCACCTCCATTTTTTCAGTGTGTGGTGCAGTGGTGGTAGGCACATTCAGGTTATTGAGCAACTGAGCTGGAGAACATTTTCATCTTGTAAAACTGAAACTCCCTGATCATCGCACCCTGCTTCCTGCCTCCCACCTCCCGCCACCCACTGTTATCTTTTCTACTTACTTTGTTTTTAGTTTCTTCCTAAGAATGTAAACTCCTAAGGCAAAGGATGTTGCCTGACTCCAGGTTTCCAGTGCTGAAAACCCTGCCAGCCCACGCAAGTGTGCTCTGTGTTTGTTGAATGAATGAGAAAAAAAGACCACTGCAGCTGGCCTTTCCAGGGAGGCAGAATTCAGTGCCAGATGTCATATTGGCACTTCCCACACTGTTCATGCTATCCAGGCATTGGCCCTTATCTCCTCATTTGATAATTTCTGAGGAAATCAAGGCTCAGACACATAGAGTCATTGGCTCTGGCCACACAGCCAGCCAATAGGTAAGCAGTGTTGGAATCCAGATCAGTCTGACACAGAGCTTGGATCCTTCTGTCCAGCTGCCGGCTGTGCCCTGGGGTCCATCCACTTTACCTGTTAGGAGAAGGCGTGTGCCCCAGGTGGAGAACTTTGCCTCCAGTGACAGGCCTTGGCCTGGAGTAAGATGCATCACATGGGTGGGGGTCTTTGTTAGTGTGAGAAGGTTCAGAGGGAATGCTGATGAACTCCCCAGGCCTCTTTCCTCAGATTCTGCTGTTTATAATGGAGAGTGCTGCTTCCTGCGTGTCTGCATGGCCCAATGTGCTAAAGCGTGCCTGTGTGCGACTGCATTGGTGTGTATATCCACAGCTGAATGCGCTTGGGAGCTGGACTGTTAACTATTGGTAGAGTGCTTCCTAGCATGCTTGAAACCCTGGATTTGGTCCCCAGCACCATGTAAACCAGGTGTGGTGGCACAGGCTTGTACTCCAAGCACTTGGGAAGTAGAGGTATAGGAGAATTAGAAGTTCAAGGTCATCCTTGGGGACTTGTCTAAGAAGGAAGGAAGGAAGAAAGGAAGGAAGGAAGGAAGGAAGGAAGGAAGGAAGGAAGGAAGGAAGGAAGGAGGGAGGGAGGGAGGGAGGGAGGGAGGTAGGAAGGAAGGAAAGCTGTGTGCATCTGTCAGGCTTTCTCTATGGCCTCAGGTGTCGGAGGACATGTGCTGAATGGGAGGCCACTGCTCCATCGTGTAGACTCTCAGGGAGTCCTAGAACTCATTAGAAGATAGCAGAGCTAAAGGAGTTTCAGTCCTCCAGCTGAGGTCCACAGAAAGATGATCATGAACTCAAAGTTGAACTAAGTCAAAGACAGTCTCTACCAAGCTCAGAGCCCCAGAGTGTGGGGGCTGCAGGAGTCAGTATGGTCTCACTGAGTGGGGATGCGGAGTCGAAGCTGATGCAGGGCATCTCAGCACCTATCTTTTCTTCGGAATGGGAACAGAGCCAGTGGGGAAGGAGGCACATGGTCACTGTATGAGAGCTGAGGTAGATCTTGACGACATCGTGTATGTCCCCCTCAGATGTCCATGCGTCTTGTGTGACAGACTTTCTCTCCCTCTCCATTTCTGGATTTTGAAGGCAAGGTTGGGATGTGGACCACTGAGTCATAGTCTCTTTGCCCCTGTTCATCCCACCAACATCCTCTGCTCTAACAAGAGATAACTCTAGAGGATGCTGTGAGCCCCATTACGGCCTGTGTCCACTTGGAGAGTGTATTCTAGAGCCTGTGCCTGATGCCATCTCTTCTCTCCACAGGGACACAAAGGCTATCCTGGACCAGCGGGGCACCCTGGAGAACAGGTGAGGCCTGCTGGCACTCTTCTGCACTGCCTGTTCTCTCAGTCCCTGTCTGGCACTGGCTTCCTCCTTAGACCTGCTCTAGAGCCCCAGAGCCAGGTCACAGGGCTCCCACCCTACAGGACCCCCGTCCCCTCACCCCACCCTCTCAGCCATACTGACCTGGAGGAGTCTATGCACACACTGCCTAGTCTAGCCTGGGTCTGGCAGGAGCCCCTGGACTCTGGTTAGAGCCATGAATAGCCGGCCTGTCCCAGGCGATGTTAGGCGATATTATCCCCTCCGCCCGCCTTGGGGTTCGCAGGAATTCGCAGGAATTCTGGCCTTCTGGCCCAACTCAAACAGCAGCCTTGCCAGGGGACAGCCAGCCAGGCCTCCTCTGTGCTTTCTTATTCTGGGTCTAGAGCAGAGTGCTTTGTCTCCAGAGCTGGTCTGACCAGTTTCCAGAGAGGTGGGCTTGGGGGCCTAGCAGGCTTTGCTGCCTTCCTCCTGTTTAGTCTCACATTGCACCCTATCCTTGTCCATTGTCAATGCCCTCCCCGTACCTGGACCCCAGTTGAACAGGGCCTCACCCTTCCTAACATTTCTTTTATTCCTTTGCAGGGGCAGCCAGGACCCCAGGGCAGCCCAGGGGCCAAAGGTTACCCTGGCAGGCAGGTGCAGTATATGCTCTGGAAGTTGTGGCCATGATGGAGGTGGCCACAGTGCCCCAGGCAGAGGGAGGCTGCGGGATGGGAATGTGAGGTCAGCCCTGGGGGTGAGCCCTAAGGAAAGGGCTGGCCAGGGGCTGGACCTAGCAGCTGCTCTGTAGGCTGGGAGGCTCTGTAGGATGGGGCTTAGGGAAGGGATTCCTGAGACTCTTCTTACCCAGTCTCCTTCTGAGCTACCCCTGGTCCAACCCATGCCACTGATGCTCTAAAGGATAGCTGAGGCCCAAGACAGGGCTCGCCCTGGGATGTTGGCAGTGGAGAGGGTGTCTCCATGTGTCCTTGCCTTCTGTCTTTGTGTTTCAGGGGTTCCCTGGACCTGTAGGAGACCCTGGCCCCAAAGGCAGCCGGGTAAGTGGTCTTGGCCAGTACCACACAGGTGGGGCCCTGGGTGGGCATCACCTGTCCCTCCACTGGGTTGATGGGAAGCCAGGACTCTTAAGAGAGCTGGGGCCAGGCATGGCAATCCCTGAACTGAAGAGCCTCTGGCTCCTGGGGTCAAGCAGACTGGGGAGTGGGTCCTGCTGGAGTTCAATGTGGTCTGCCCACAGAACTGAAGCATGTACCTCCCGCATGACCAGGGAGCCAAAGCCCAGCCACATGAAGTGCCGGTCACTGCAGTCCTTGGCAGCCTCTCTCCAGCTGAGGGCTGGAGGCCACTGTGTATGGAGGGCTATGGTGCCCTGTGGGAATTGTGATCATAGTCTTGCTGTGCCTGCCTTTCCACGGGATATGATGCTGATTCCTCCCTCTGCCCAGTACTGCTGTGGGTGGCTGCTAGGTGGCTCCCAAGGGCTGTAGGGAGGTGGAGAAGGTTTTCAGTATGTCGAATGAGGGAATGGAGGTGGAGGGCATGGTCATGGTGGGCATGGGTGGCCCTGATTATAATGCATGCCAAGGTGCTGTGAGGACAGGACATGGGTGTCCTGAGGTGGTACCTGCTGCTTCTCAAGGAAGGCTCAGCAAGTGGGTCACACAACCCTCAGTTAGGGCAGGTCCCCTGTGATGTGTCCTCTGCTCCTGAGCCAAAGCTATTTATACCCTGGCAGATTGGAGAGTCAATATGGCTTCATTACTAGCCTACAGCAACCCTTCCCTAAGCCCCTCTCCTCCTACAGAGCCAGCTCCAGCCCCTGGCCAACCCTTTCCTTATAGCTCACCTGTAGTGGCAGCCTCATGATTCCAGTGTGAAGTCTCCCTCTTTCGGGGCTACTGGGGCCATGTCCACCATGGCACAGGACAGGAAGAAAGGTCCCCAGGATATTATGTGACAGGCAGGGCCTAGTCACCTCCTGTCTTAGAATCCTGGGTCTTTTCTCTCATACCTTCCACAAGTGGTGGCCTCTGAGGGGACCTCTAGGCCCTGGAGAAACGTCTTAGACTGACACGTTAGTCCTGTCTGACATGCTAATGGCATCTAGGTCTCTCTGATATTCACATGTGGGAAGGGGTTCGCCTGGTACATTACTCCTGGGTCCCAGGGCCCAGGGCAGTCTTCCCATTCTGCTTCATATATATGAAGGAAGCATAACCCAGACCAGCTTTGGGGTGTAGGTGATCCCCCCCCCAACTCAGAAACCTGCTCTGCCACTGGCCACTCTCTTACTCATGAACACGAGACGTGAGCCCTACGTGGAAGGTTCAGGACACTGTGCTTGTTAAGATTATGACTGCTGATCAAGTTGGCTCCTGAGTGGGACACAGGGGCCTGGTGGCTATATGGTGAAGGAGCCTCCATTGGCTGCTTGTTCATGGGAGACAGGGAAGCACAGTGGCTAGGGGTGTGGACCCAGAAACCATAGGACTTGAACTTAGATATTAGTTCTGACACACTGTGACTGTGAGACCCTGTGTAGGCCACCTTACCTCATTGGGCCTAAATGGTCTCTTCTGTAACACCTCCTTAAAGAAGTGTGAAGATGCCATAATTTGATTACAAGTCCATTTTGCAGCCCAGGAGCTTCATGTGGCCCAGGATAGCTATGAATACAGCCCAGCATAAAATCATAAACTGAAAACATCACATAACGTTTTTTGTGTAGTTTTTTTTTTCTTGTTGTAATTCGATTGAGAGGGTCTACATGCCGTCTACATGAACTTTGTAGATGACAACTTTGTCACAATGTTAAAAGTTGGACACATCTACATGCTTTAGTGCATGAAAAGCATTGAGTCAGGCCTGACGGGGAGATGGTGCTTGGTAAACATTTGCTTTTGCAGTTACAGTTAAAGCACTCCCCAGCATCTAGGTGCAGAGTAGAGCGGTACAAGTCCTGTGCTAGATCCTGGCTCTGGAGAAGTTACCAGAGGACAGGGAGGCAAAGAGACAGCGGGGGGAGGGGTGGGGAGAGAGAGAGAGAGAGAGAGAGAGAGAGAGAGAGAGAGAGAGAGAGACACACAGGGGGGTGAGAGAGAGAGGGGAGGAGGTTTTTTTGAGAGAGAGAGAGAGAGAGAGAGAGAGAGAGAGAGAGAGAGAGACTCACAGGGTGCTGAGCAACAGTGGGAAGGAGAGGAACTTGCTTTGGGTGTCTGGTGCTAACCAGGAGAGTACTTCAGGTGGGCTCTGCAGGATATGGTTCTGCTATCATGGTAGAAGACAGGGCATGCCTTGTGGGGGTGGGGAGGTTCAGAGGGAACACAAGCCTGGGGACTGGAAATTAGGTACATTTTATCTAGACCAGGGAACTATGATGCTGACATGCCCGGGTTCTTGAGTCTGCTAGGTCCAGGTGACCTTTATTAGCCAAGGGCTGCACTGCCAGTTTCTGGGGTCCTTGCCAAGGTTAACACAGGAAGACCTGTGTGCCTGGCATGATGTCAGTTCTGTGGGGTGGCAGCTCTGTTTGCACTTGGCAGCCAGAGAAGATGCAAACCTCCAGTTTCAGGAACTTCAAGGTCACAGAGGAACCACTGCAGGGGCTCTGGGCTCTCAAGAGCATCCCTGGGACAGACAGGTGTCTAACCTGGGCGCCAGCTTCTTTCTGCAGGTCACGAACTGGGCGCTGGGCTTCTGCACCGCCCTTGAGCTGCCCTCCCTGGCGTGAGCGTATGTGCCTTTGGACTACATCGTGGACGCAGCACCATGCAGTCCACGGGCATATACACTTGCCTCAAGGCCTGTATCATCGAGGATCACTGCAGTCACCAGCGCGGAGGACCTGGATGTGTGGCATCATGTGGGATGGCAACAGGGAGGCTGGGCAACTACTCCCTACACCTAGCCTCTCTGATCCCCACTACTCTTCCCTAGGGCTACATTGGGCTGCCTGGGCTCTTTGGCCTCCCAGGATCTGATGGAGAGCGGGTGAGTACTCTATCTGTGCCTTCTCAGCCTTCCACCCTCACCCTGATGTTACAGAGTGCCAGCTGCTGATGTCCAGTCTCCTGGACATGCCTGGTCACAGTGAGGAGACCCAGAGAACAGCTTGCACATTATCAGGATGTCACATCCCTGTGGTCACAGCACTAAGTAGGCAGGGACAAGCCAGAGGGCCCCCAGGCTAGGTGTTCCAGGCACTTCGGGACTAAGATCAGGAAAGGGATTTCTACAGGGAAGCTTCTCATAAGCAACAGACACTTTGTCTTCTAGGTATGAGTTTTTCAGGGATGGCCAGTCTGCTGTTTTAATAAATAAAGTTTTATTGAGCACAGCCATGCTCATAGCTTACCGCTGCCCATGGCTGCTCTCCCGTCACCCACAGTGGCAGGGCTGAGGCGCTGTGACAGACATTGTGGCTGGTGTCCCGCCACAGTGGCGGAGTTGAGGAGCTGTGACAGACACTATGGCTGGTGTCCCGCCACAGTGGCAGGGCTGAGGAGCTGTGACAGAGTCTGTGACTGATGTCCTGCCACAGTGGCAGGGGTGCTTGGCTGTGACAGCGGCCACCCACAGAGCCCCAAGTAGTCACTCCACCCCTTTGCATAAGCGCCTGCTCGTCTCTGGCTTGGCCGCTTGCTAGAGTGAAGTGAGGCCGACCAATGGAAGTGTGGGAACAGAGGCCAGGGGTCAGCCACACCAGGCCTTCTGGGCAGGATTGTGGTGGCTGACTTTGGTGGTGGGAAGGGAAAGGGGTTGCCATGAGTGCTTTACTCTAGCCTGGGCTCTGCAGTCCACGAGGAGGCTGGAGACCAGCACACTGGGGAAACGGGTACATCTGGCTTCAAGGTGGATAGGGCTAAGATTTCCCAAGATGCTTTGTCCTTCCAGCCCAAGTGTTCAAGTCAGGGGAAGAGCTGCCCATGGGCCTTTGGGACTGGCTGCCTCAGTACGTATTCCTGCCAAGTCCTAAGCCTGTAGTTGGGAACTCAGTTGTTACCCTTTCATTAAGCTAAGTGTAGCGTATCTTAGGAAGTAGTAGAAGGAGCACTTAGTGAGCACCTGCCGAATGCCAGGAACACTGGAAGCTTTCTTTAGTTACTTTTCCTGTGGGTGTCTAGGAAACCCTGACCCCCACCACAACCTTCCAGTTCACATGTAACTGGCACAGCTGCATCTGAGGTGTGTGTTCCAGATCCCCTGGGACTTCCTTCTGAGAGTGTTGGGGTCCCCTACCCCTGAACTTGGTGCTGACCTCTCTTTTTCCTCTCTCTCTCTCCTCTACAGGGCCTGCCTGGTTTTCCCGGCAAGAGGGGCGAGATGGGTAGGCCGGTAAAGATTTTCCGTGTCTATTATGCAGACTCTACGGGTAGACCCACCTCCCGCTGGCTGGCTGTGCTGTGCTGGCCACTGGAGCCTGGCGCTGTTCTCTGCTCTGCTTCTCAGCTCCGGGTGTGGGGCGGGATGCTGGGTGCAGCTGCTGGCTGGGGCTTCCAGAACTGCTCCAGGTGGTTCCTCTGACCCACGTGCTGCAGTGGCTTGTGGGTTCAGCTTTGCATCTAGGGCTTCTACCCGGGTGTTATGTCTGTGGCCTGCAGGGAGTCAGGGATCTAAGTGCTCACCCAGACAGAACACCATCTCCACATTGTCTGGGTCCCCCACTTTGTCCGTTTTCACTCACACACACATAAGACTGAAGGACAGTGGGGTACGGTGGCCCTAAAGGGGGCTCAGTGGTGACCTCCCTCCAATTCACAGGCTCTGTTTATGCCTCTTCTGTTGCTGTAGGAAGTTCTTTTTCTTCCTGTTGCTCATAGGGCTGACTACCCCTCAGTGCCCCTTGTGGCCTGGCCCTGTCTGCTGGGTCTGGTTATGCACAGAGAGTCAGGAGGGCAAGCCTGAAGCTGGACCGGAGGATCCAGACTTGACTTGATCCTTCTCTGTGTGGCTCAGAGATGATGGGTGCTTGTGTGGGGACACATAGAAATGGCCAGAACAGGGCTTCAGGTCCTGAGCATTTGTAGGCATTAGACAGAGAAGCAGTTCCCCACACAAGGAAACTGAGGCCCGAACAGATGAGCTAAAGGCCTAGTTTCCATCCTCTGGATGTGAACCAGAGCTGTCCAAAGGCTCTTGGCGACCCGCGGAGTCCCGTGAGACCTCGGTTTGCTTGTCTCCGTCTTGGTCTCTTTGGATATTACTTGGGTGGACTCCATAATTGACTTCAAAGGCCAGGGTAGAACGTGTTCGGCATGGTGGAGCGAGGGTGCTGGGGACCTCCTGGGCTCCTTCCCATCAGCTCATTCCAAATACAGTGTAAAGGACTTCCAGGCATTAGAGAATTTGCTTATTACCCCTTGTATGGAGTGCCCTAAGATCTGTGGCTCTTCCTAGAGGTTACTGAAAACTCCCATGGTGGGTACTGACCCTGTTCCAGTGAGTAATGGGTACTGACGCTGAGTAATGGTGCATTACGGCTTACCAGAGTCTTAAGACTGATGATCACCCCCTTAGCCCAGCCCTGCCAGAATGGGACAGAGTGATTTGTATAGGCCAGGAGGTGGAGCCTTGAGGTTTAGCAGGTTGTCTGCTGTGGATGTTTGGGTTGCCCTGGCCCTGTGGCTGGCCTGTGTAGTACAGAGCCAGCCCCTGGAGGCAGGAACATGGCTGAGATATTTTCGGAGGTCTGGGTCCTTGGCATGCTGCTCTTGGGTAGTGAGGAGGAGGGGTCACTGTTTGTACCTCTGGCCCTCTGAGTTGTTGTCACTCAAAGGGGAGGTGGAGCCTTACATCAGTCTTCTCTTGGGCCTGGTTCTGCTCACAGTGCAAGGCGTTCAATCTCTGAGGGGCCCAACCTAGGAAGCAGAGGAGCCACGTAGCTGGGCCCGGCAGTGAGCCAAGTTCATTCTTTGGGCCTCGGGCCAGGCTGTTGTAGCCAGGAGCTTGGGTTGTAGAAGACAGAAGGGCTTGCTGCTGCCCACTGATGTATAGTCCGAGTCGTCACACACTGAGCACAAACAACCAGTGGGCACCAGACAGCCAGCTGGGCAAGCACCAGAGGCCCTGGGTGACTACTGGGTGTGGCCATGTCACTGGGGTGTGAGTGGCAGGGCCTTTGCATGTCCGTCTCCTACTGGTGCCCCAAGGAGCTGCTCTCTAGACCACAGGCTTGCTAGGTCTTAGACCACCTACAATTGTCCAGTACCTTTAAAACTCCAGTCTTTTTTTTAAACTAGACTCCTAGAGGTCACTTGGTATCACTTCCAAGAGAATACCTCTGGGGCCAGACTGCCTGGGTACAAATCCTTGCTGTGCTGTTCTATAACTGTGTGATTTTGGGTATATTTCTTTCCCTCTCTAGATCTTCTCATCTCTAACACAGGATCAGCACAGGGCCTCATTCATGGGTCTGTCACCCTATTGGGGTTGATGTTATACATTGTTTTGTCCTACCGTTGTTCAGGGGCTGTCCTTGCAGAAGGGTCCCTTTGAAACCCTTTGACCTTTGGAACACAGTATCTGTGAGTCTATCCTTGGTCCTAATGTTCTCTCAGAACAGAACAGAAGCAGACAGAATCCAGGCTCCCAGAGGCCCCTGGGTGGTCTAGACAGGACAGGCCCAGAGCAGCTGGCCTGGACACTGGTTTGGGGGGAATATTTGGCCATCCTAGAGATGCCCTGTGTGCAGAGTCTGCCTGATGCTGCTGCCTAGAAACCCTGGACCTTGCAGCAGGATAGCTAACAAGTTTCCATGTTGCCCTAGGCTAGTGGAATCTCATGCTTAGGGGAAGAGCCTTTTTCCTCTGCAACCTTATCTAGGGGTCAGGCCAGGATGGAATATCCTTTGAGATCAGCCCCCACCAAACCTGCCCATCACACTGCCACAGAGGAGCCAGGATGGCATGGGTTACCTACAGACCCTAGACTTGAAAAACACAGCAGGCACTCCTCTGACTCTGCCATTGGGGCCGTGTGAAGCCAGGCTAGGTGCCCTACAGGGCAGCATCCCCCATTCCCTGAAGGGCTGTCCGCCTATCCTGTCTCCCCACCCCTGGTATCCACCATAGATGGGAAATCAGTGCCTTCAGAAAGTGTTTCTGACCACAGTCCACCTGGCAGATGGCTCCTGCCCAGGAGGTAACACTGATCAACCTTATTGTGTAACAGAGGGTCTGGTTTGGGGTGAGGCTGGAAACATCCAGTAGAGACTCCACCTGGGAAAAGGAAGCTTGGGTGGGTCAGATGCACTCTCCAAAGACAGGCTTGTAGGAATGCATGGACCTGTTCACCTTGTGTGACCTCCCAGCTATCCCACATGGCAAGCTAGGCCCATATGTAGCTCACAGGAACAAAGCAGGGTAGAGGACAAACCCAGGCTCAGCTGAGTTACCCTCTTGCCTCATGGTCTTGGTCAAGTGACTTCCTGTGTGAGCCTCAACTTTCCTATCTATTAAATGGCATCAGTTACCTTCCTCTCAAGGTGAATGTCAAACACATGTGCAGCCTTGCATGCAGAACCAACAGCCTGGTCTGAGCTCCAGCAAGGTGTCCTCATCTCCTCCTTCTAGGATCTGAATGAGCCTATGCTTCCTGCGGAAGGGCTGATGCATGTCGTCCTGTGTTGTGCCCATTCATGAGTAGAGGTCACACACACACATACACATACACACACACACACACACACACACACACGCAAAGTCAGAGGCTCACAGATCATGTGGCTGTTTCTGGGGGGTTTTGTGTGGTTTACTGAGCTCACTGAATTCTCTAGAAGTGTTAGCAAGCTGAAGCAAGATGCTCCTCTGTGAGGGTCTTTGCTGTCTGACTGGCTTGGCATTCATTCTCAGCAGGCAAATGTGAAATTTGCTTTTCATTAATTTCCTTGGAAAGGTCACAGTTCAAATTGGAGGAGGGAGAACCCTTTGAAGTACAAATGGATTTCCACCCCTCAGGTCTCCCCACAGCAGATGTTTTCCCAGCTGCCTGGCTCCCTAGGGGGCTTGGAGCTCCTCAGTCCAGTCACAGGGGCCGAGGGGGCCAGACCTGCCCAGGGCTGGTGGCCCAGACTCTGTGACCACAATGCTGATGCTCCCTAGCAGTATGAACTTGTGTGACTTTGCCACTCACCCTGTTACAGCCTCTGTCACATAGGGAAACTGATTCCACAGGGTAGTTTCTATGGTGCACAGCATAGCCATAGAAGCCTTCCCTTGACCTGTGGGGAAACTGAGGCCTGTGGGAAAGAATGATGCACTTGCAGACTCTGAGCCAGTCATCGATGTCCAGGCCTAGCCCTAACTTTCTGCCCTAGTCTGTTCTTTCCACTTCGCTGGGACCAGTCTCAGACCTGGGGTTGGCACCTGTCCCCTCTTCTCAGACTGGCTACAGACAGTCCCTCAGTTCTGTGTATGTAGGTGTTTGTGGGTGGCAGGGATAACTTCAGGATCCTGACCCAAGGAGGGAGTCTGCTCAGATATTGCCCTTGCACCCCCTAGGGGTGTGGCTTGGAGCCAGCCTGCAGGCAGGAACACTAACTTTCACTTTTCTCTCTCCTGTCCTCAGGGCTTTCCTGGAGACTTTGGGGAAAGAGGCCCGCCTGGACTCGATGGGAACCCTGTAAGTACCTCCAGTGCTTGCCAACAGGCTGGAGTTTCAAAGTGAACCCTCAGTGGACTTGAGCCTGAGTTTTGAGGTCAGACAGATCTGGTTTAAGTCTCAGTCCTGTGACCTATTAGCTTGGTGCCCCTGGAAAAATGGCAGGATTTCTCTGAACCGTAGGCTCCTGTGTTCTGTGAGTGTCCACTGGTGTCCTAGGAGACCCCTCTACTGAGCCCCAGACTCAGGGCTTCTGCTCGCTGGAGAGACCCCAGCTGCCACACGCCTTAGAAAAAAGGCAAGTTCACAGGCATCTCCAGCACTGACCTGGTTTACAGTTTGTAAACACATAAAGACTGGACTCATCCCTGGTGGAGATGGGTCGGCCTGCCCCAGCAAGTCAGTTTGCTTTTCCCTTCCTGTCTCAGCTCCAGGCCTGGGAAGGAAAGGACATTCCATCTGAGCCTTGGGTGAGATCATGGCCACTGCTCTTAGGAACACCTGTCCTTGTCCCTTCCTGAACAGCTGTGCCCAGTTGTGCCCACTGTGCGGTGGCTTCTGGGTCCTCCATTAGGACCCTGACATGCCAGCTTGACCCTATAAATGCTCCTGAGCCTGATGCCCAGGGGACAACGCCTTAGCCTCAGAGCTTCCACAAACCAATTCACCCATCTGCATCCCAGTTTCCCTCTCTAAGTGGGGTCAGAATGCACACTTTAGAGAATGAAAGGCCAGAAGATCTTGACCACAACAGCTGTTCAATGGATGGAATTATTACTAGTACTAGATGACCATGGGACAGTCCCTGGCCTCCTTGTTCCCTCCATAGTCTTTCCACTTGACTAGGGAGAGATGGAGGGGGTGGAATGAAGGAAGGGAGGAAAGAGCAGCAAAAGATTGTGAGGACAGTGACAGGAAGGAGATGACAGGACCCTTTAGGTGGAACAAGGAACATCATGAGGGCTCAGAAGGGAGCCAGGCCTCCCACAGACATGGCCCTCACTGGGTTAACATTATACTGTATTTGGACACAACTGTTCCAGAAGTTTCCTTGGGTTGGGGCAAGGGCGTCTTCTCAGGTCCTTGAGGAGTAGAGAACTAGGTCCTGGCCTTGAGCTCAGCTCTGCTGTAGAATTGCTGAGAGACCTTAGCAAGTCATTTCCCTTCTCAGAGCCACAGTTCCTCATTTAAAGGTGAGGCTGCTTCTAACTTTGCCTCCTTTGTGGCTGTGGTGGCAATCAGGGCAGCTCCAGGACTGCACCAGTGGTGAGCACAGCTCCTGAGGGTGGAGGGCCGGCACCTCTACTGGTAATCACAGTTTCCAGAGCCACCCACAGAAGACTAGAGCTTTACAGACTGGGGTTTGGGGGTAATTCCCACACTGCCCTGTTCCCTGCCCCTGACTGCAGGCAAGAGCTCTTCCCAGCATCTTGGAGGCCCTGGGAATAGAGGCATCCAGAGAGCCTGGCAGAGTCCCCAAGCATTTTCTTATTTGCTTGCACCTGGTCTTGGGCAGACCACTCACTTCTGGGACCCTGGTGTTCTTGTTCAGAGAGTAAAATGCCCCACCTGCTTATGACCTGGGAGAGATTTTACCTGTGTCTTTCATACCTAGAGTTGAAGGTACTAGGCTTAGAAGTTACATCTGGCTGATGCTAGAGGGAGAGTTGTCTCCAAATGCCAGGTCAGGTGTACCAGAGCCCCTGAGGACTGTGGTCAGGAACAGGAGTGGTCTGCTTCCAATGCACCCACCAGGGACCTGCATGGGGGTCGATGTGGAGGGAGACAGAGCACGTTACCACCTTGATTTCCATATTTGCAGGGAGAACTTGGCTTGCCAGGGCCACCAGGAGTTCCCGGCCTCATTGTAAGTACATGCATGCCTAAGGTGGGGTACAGCAGAGGCAGGGGGGACTAGAGAGTGAAGAGCAGGCAAGGGTGCCCTGGAGAGGAGGTCAAAAGGGCCTCTTGTCATCAAACCCCCAAAGGGTCAAGGAAGAGAGTAAGGAACAGGACAGCAGCTAGCCAGACATGGAAGAAGTAAAGTAGTGCTGCGTGGCTGCGGGCAGCTTTCCTGCCTTCTCTGAGCCTGCCTCCTTATTGGATAGATGAGACTGAGTGCTTGGAGTGGAACTGCCAGCCATTCAGGCTGTTTGCCTGTCCCCTCAGGTCAGGACAGGTGATGGCAGGCCCATTCAGCAGGTGAGGGGCTCAGGCCCAGAGGGAGGATGTGTCCAGTAGGGGAGGGGAGACCCTGGGTCATGATGTGTGGCCTTTGAGGTCAGAGCACTCAGTTCAAGCTCCAGCTTTGTTGCATCCCGGATATGTGACCTGGGCCATGCCACTTACTCTCTCTGTGCCTTGGTTTCCCCATCTTTGAAATGGAGAGGGAGCAGAGCCTCGTAGGTTTTTGATTGTGAGGATTAAAGAAGGCGTGGGTACAGTGCCCCACCACTCACAAGTGCACAAACTATTATCACAGTTGTCACCTGCTGAGAGGCCCAGGCCCAAGGACAGTAGCCAGGGAGTCTGAGGGGACAAACCTATGACTCTTCTAGGCAGAGAAGGCCTTGGCAGGTGGCTCTGTCTCTTAGCATCAGGGCTTGCGGCTAGGTTTCCAGGGACCAGTCTTGACCCTGAGCTCAGCCCTAAGGGCTGTGAGAAGCCAGGGTCTAGGAATATTGCCCTAGAATCTGGGCCCCTCTTTTTCTGGCCTCTGGGCCATTGCTTAGGAATTGGTGGGCAGGGCTTTAAGGGAACACAAGTAGACAGTCCCCTAGACAAGTGAGACAGCTTTGCTCTCCCAGCAACTGTGCTGAGAAATTCTCTTCAGAAGGAAGCAAAGATGGTGCTAGGATGAGTGTGGGCTACTCCATTCCCCAGGAGGATCCTGGCCTGAGGGAGGCCACATGGATAAGGATTCAAGAAGCAGTAGTTATAATGTTATTGTTATTCTTCTATTACATGCCCTATAGTATTGATGAATTAACAGCATTTCAGAGTAACACTGGAACTCAGTGGGAGAGAGTGTTGCAATTGACTAGTAATACCTGTCTTGACTAAGGATACTACAGTTGACTAGTGATGTCTGCCTTGGCTGTGAATCCTGTTTTTGACTAGTGATGTCTGCTTTGACTGGGGATGGGTAGGTATTAATTTAGGCACTTGTCTCTGATGTTTATTCAAAAGAACTTTGCCGAATACCTTCTTTGGCACAGGTGCTATCCTACATATTTTGGTAAAAGTAACATGTGCCATGAGAGTCTGAGAACATTCTGGAAGTCTTGTTGTCTAATTCTTTCTAAGCCCTGCAAGAAACCCCTTTAGAACCTATGGCCATTAAGTTCCAACTTGAGCACCTCTGGTCTTAGAAACTGCCCCCCGGGACCCAGTCCATCTACCCACAGCCCCCATTGTCCAGTGTTTTCCTGTCTTGAGCCCAAGTTGCCCTCCCTGTCCAGGAAGCTGTTCCAGGGTTGAATGGCTACTGCCTGCTCTTCCCGACTCCTTCAGTGTGAATAATGCCAATCCTAAGCTTTTCCAAGAGAATGGTCACACATCCTGGCTGTCATCTTTGGCACGTGTTCTATTTGTTCCAACATCGAATTGGTAGGGTCCTGAGAGGGTATAAGTTCTTGGCTGAATGAACACAGATTCTGTGGCCCTAAGCTGTCCCCGTCCCATTCCTTCTAGTACTTACCAGCTTCCTTCAAGTCTCAGGACTACCAGACAAAATACAAGACACCTAGGTACGCTGAATGTCAGATGCAGTATTTAGGACACATTTGTGCTAGAATACCATTCTAGTTACGTGGCATTCAAACAGAAATGGGACCCTTGTCTTTCTATGCCCCTAATCTCACACCGCTACTCATGATGTCTCTTTCTTTAAAAAATATTGTTTTTGGTCTTTTTGAGACGGGGTCTCCCTGTAGCCCCAGCTGTCCTGGAACTCACTATGTAGATGAGGCTGGCCTTGAACTCACAGAGATGGGCCTGCCTCTGCCTCCCAAATGCTGGGATTAAAAGCGTGCACCACCACGCCCGGCTATTTTTATCTTGTGTGTATGAGTATATTGCCTGCATGTAGGTAGGTGCACTCCTGTCATACAGTGCCCTCAGAGGTCAGAAGAGGGTGTCAGATCCCCTGGGAACTGAAGTTATGCACCAGTTGCTAGCTGCCATGTGGGTGCTGGGAATCAAACTCAGGTCTTCTGCAAGAGCAGACAGTGCTCTTAGCTGTTGAACCATCTCTCTAGCCCCTCATGGTATCTCTTAAGACATCATTCTTTGGCAGATGAGAAAACAGGCCCTTGGTCAAGGTCACAAGCAAGGCAGGAGACGATAGGGGCTTGGTTGAAGGCCATGACCTCCAGCTGGCACAGGGCCCTCTTCCTACCTCCTTTTGGGCACTGTTTTGCAGCCCCACTTGCAAAGTGCTGCTTTCCAAGTAGTGACTTTTTCCCTCTGGCCTCCTCTTGCCCTGCATCGTTCTCTGGCCCACTGTCAGCCTCTCTTTGCATATTTTTAGATCCCTTCCCTGCCAAAATGACACTCCTTGAGTCTTTGGGGAGAGTGCCCATCAAGCCACCACAGAGCCCCAAGGTACCTCTCTTGTCCTAGAGTCCTGTGAATGGCCTGAGCCTGGGGAAAATTGCCTTTAGGAAAGAGAAAGGAAAGGGACTCTACCCCTAGGTGTCAAGGAGGAAGCAGGACTGAGTTAGTTACCTATGACTTTACAGAAGGTGTGGGTTCGCTTTGCTAGTCATCTCAGTGGAAACAGATACATTCCACCCTCTGTGGAGTCACCTGGAGCAGACTGCTTACAACCTGCAGCCCCCCAGGTGCCTGCAGCCAGCCTCTCACCCAGCCCTCCAGGTACCTGTAGCCGGCATCTGACCTAGCCCTCCAGTTGCCTGTAGCCAGCCTCTCCCTCAGCACCCCCAGGTACCTGTAGCCAGCGTCTGACCCAGTCCCCCAGATGCCCAGCCAAGAAGGAGAGACTCAGCTAGCTCTGTCTGCAATGTGCTTGTTATGCCTGGGCTCTGGAAGCTGTGCAGTGCCCTGGCTCACCTGCTAGGGTGTGAAAGCGTCCAGTTTATAAGCCAGGTCTGAATGGTCCCAGTCTCCACATATTACTAATGGTCTCCCACCACCTCCAAGGTGGGAAGGCTGATTGGAAGCAGCCCCCTTGATGTCATTGAAACCATGGCTGGCCTTCAGGAAACTGCCACTTCAGAATTGGCTCCAGATGAGTTTTGTCTCTTCTGTTCAGAGGAACACGGGGAATTTTGGCTCCTGCTTTGAATGAGACTCGAAGAGCTTGTGATCTGACCCAGAACCCGGCATGTGGGGCACTATTGACACTAAAGGATCAGGGCCTGTCCTCTGTGTGCAAAGCAGGTCAGGAGCCCGATCAGCTGGTGTTTACCAGCCCTGTGTGCCTGACCCTGCGCTCAGCCTTGAATGGATACCCCAGCCCTGGGAGGAGAGGGAACTCATCACCATTTTGTAGTGAAGGAAACAGAGACTCAGAGAGGGCAAGGCACCTACCTGATCTCACACAGTCCATAAACGAGGACCAGTCTATGTATGCTATTCAAGCCCTTCCCCTGCCCTACATTTCTACTTCTGTGCTGGACAGAGACAGAGGGTGAAGGGGACATGGGCTGGACTGGGCTGCTCTGGTGTAAGGCCAGAGACCTCATATGCCCATTGCTAACGTGGAGCCTTTTCTGGGTTTCTGAAAAGAGGCTTTTTCCTTCACGGACAGACTCCAGGTGAGTTTTTAAGGAAGACTGAGGGTCTTCCTGGGCCATTCATTAAGCACTTCTGAGGAGCACCTCTCCTGACTCTGCCCCTCTCCTCCCTGGATGCTGGGGTCATAGAGAGAAGGCCCTCTAACTAGGTGTCTGGCTTTAATCTGTGGCAAAACGGGTGATGACCCAAATGCACGCACACACACGGTGGATCACATGGTGACAGCTAATGAGCAGAAGCTGTTAGGCTCTGGACCCCAGAGCAAGGAAGTGACAGGGCTCTGGGGTCCTGGTAGTGCTGCAGGAACCAGGGTGAAGTATGAAAGCTCTACCAATGTCAGTGGTAGGCCCAGCATGCCAGGCTAAGGAGTCAGGTGATCCAGGACTAGGGACATTATAGGCAAGATGTCACAGTGGTGGTTGGAGCGCAGAGGGGCGGGGAGGCCTGGCAAACTTTGACTTGGATGTCCATGTGATGACCATGGGCCTTAATGTTAGTGGGCACCCCAGGGTTTGGTAGCATAGAAGTACATTGGGACAGACAGACAGACAGACAGACAGACCTGGGGTCTACTGGTCCTGCTTTTGGCCCCACTTGGTTCTTAATCTGATGTAGGTTGTCTAGCCTCTCTCTGATCTGCTGACTCAGTTCTCTTATCTGTGAAAGGGATGGATCTGACAGCCATTCTGGCCAGCTGTACAGGTGAGCAGTGTTGAGCTGCTAACCCCATCCCCAGCCCTGTATACCATTCAGAGTAGCATTTAGCTGACTAAGGAGGGCTGGCAGCTGTCCCTAGACACACAGCAGAGGGCTTTTTAAGTGTTTACATCTGTAGTTGGTTGTGTTCTTAGTGGGAGCCTTGAGAAGCAGGGCATGGTGTGGAACACTACTGGGGAGCTGAAGTGGAGCCAACATAAGGGTCCTTCTTGCTTTATTTTTTCTCATGGGAACACGGAGCAACCAGGATCTGTGAATTCTGTGAGTTATCCTCTTGGAACTGCAGCCCTCCACCCCACCCCCACCCCCACCCCATAGGCGAATATAGGGTCGCATATTGGGAATATCTCTCCTCTGCTGCTGCTACTGCCTCCTCTAGATCCCCACAGCCACTGTCCCCTACAGCTCTAGAGTCCCTTAGCCACAATTTTTTCCTCCTCGAAGTGGTGGGTGCCCATGCCAGATTCCCTCCCCCACCACCCATAGAACCTTCCCATGCCCCACATAGTCATCATCCAGCCTGTGTGGCTCTAGTCACCACACAAACCACCTTCAGGACGCAGCAAGAAGAGCCTGAGTTCCTGGGGCTGCTGGCTGATCCTCTGCCCTTTGCCAGGGGCCTGGGCAGCAGCCACCTCTTGCAGAGGAGTTTGCTGTGTACCACACACCATGGGGACCTTGGGCATCAAGGACTCTGCCCTTATCTAAGAAAGACAGTGGATGGTCTAGGGGTAGGAAGCAGGGGTTTTTAACCTGCCTCTGGAAGACTGACTTTTCCTTCTCAACCCAGCCTATGATCTGACTTTTTCTCTTCAAAGACTTTAGAACTAGACATTTCTGGAGTCCTAACCACTAAGACTCTAAGTCTCTTCCTCTACTGGTTTTGCTCCAGTCAGGTTGATTTGTTTTCTCAGTGGAACCGTTCCTTGATGGGGACTGACAGCAGGATTTGCTAGCAAAGGCTCAGCAGTGAGGTGTGTCTGGGCAGAGACCAGAGGCAGTCCTGAAGTCCTGAGTAGTGTTTGCTAAGGCCACACAGGCAACCTTGTGTTTCCGGCTGGGAGGGATAGGGCATGCCTGGTCTGAGCGTTGGCACCCCACCTCTCTAGCCCTTGTTCTGCAACTCTAGGCTAAAATATGTGTCCTCTGTAAGGCCTCCCTTTGCCAAGGCTTCAATAGAGCCTGCTTTGGGATGGTGGAAACGGAGGCCAAGAGATGGCACATGGATGGAGACTACCCAGCAGCCCCTTAGGTTAGTGATAGAGGAAGAATAGGCTGAGAGCTCCTTTTTCCTGGACAAGGATACACATTATGACTGATCGTGAGGGTGGCTATGAGGGGGCGAGCAGTGACATTAGAGGAAAAGGAATGGGCTTTGGAAGAGGAATTTACCCACTTCACTCTAAGCCAGAATTCCCTGACCTCGGCACTTTTGAATCTAGGGCTGGGTCATTCATAGCCAGGGTCTGTCCTGTGACTTGCAGGATGTTTGGTGACCCCTAATCTCTACCCGCTAGATTCCAATAACCTCTATTAAGTTGTGATGACCCACAATACCCCCCAGACATTGCCACATCTTTCTACCTTCTAAGTCCTTGGAACAGCTCTAGTGACACAAAGTGTTGCCACTCTCCCTGTCCCATGCTGGATGAGTGGTAGGGGGATAGATAGGCTGACCAACAGATGAAATGCCCTTCCAGCCATCTTGAGACCCTATGAAGAATATCCTTGGGAAGGCTGGACCTCCCAAGATCAGAAATCCCACTGCTTCTGACTGGGTGGACTGGTCTGACCTGAAGCTGGGTCCCCAACCTGTGGTCCGGGAAGCCATTTTATCATCTTGAGGACAATAGACAACATGGAGCTTCCAGATCATCTCCTTTACTTGCTAAGGTGCTGAGGATCTGTGCCTCCCATCCTTTGACTGAAGAATCAAGCTGTAGTTAGCTCTTACCAGGACAGGGGATTGTAGTGGAAGCCAACAGTGCAGAACGCTCCTAACTCCAGGATCAGCCCAAGGGTGTGAGCTGCATCTTCAGCCCAGCCCTGGGGACCTTGGGGATCCTCCCTCCCAGATCTGTCTCCAGAGCCATCTCTCATGAAATGCTCCTCTCCTTCTCTTCCCAGGGTGACATGGGACCATTGGGTCCAATTGGCTACCCAGGACCCAAGGGCATGAAGGTAAGTAAGAACTCCCCCAGCTTAGGCTCCACCTGACTGGGCACCCCAGAAAGAAGGCACCATCAGCTGTCACTGAGAGGGAAGACAGGAGTGGCTGGCTGGGAGCGCTGTTCTCTGGCCCAAGAGCCAGCCAGCATCTGCATGTCATTTAGGCCAGACATCTTTATTGGATACCAGTTTGCAAGTCCAGCAGGAGGCCAGTGTGGTTCTGGGCCATGGAACTCATGGCCAAGGATATAGAAACCCTAGTAATAAGTGATGAACTGGGCCCCCACAAGTAGGAGAGACTTGCCAAGGCCAGCCCAGGCCCTGTCATCAGCCCCTCCTATTCTGGGTTTGGTTCAGAACTGAGGGTCACTACAGTTTCTCGGAGCTCACACCGCCCTTGCCCTGTGAGGTGGGCACCACTGTATCCTTTGTTTCCTGGGACGGGGACCCAGCTCAGTCTTGAAGCATGTCAGCTCCTGACTTCTGTGGCCTTGGCCTGTCTTTCAGGGACTGATGGGCGGCGTGGGGGAGCCCGGACTGAAAGGTGATAAGGTGATCGGAACGCTCCCTTACTGCCCGTGGGTTTTCTGCATGCCCCTTGCTTGAGGCTGCCTGGAGCTGCCTGCTCCTCTGCTCTGCTTTGAGCCTCCTCTCCTGTCCTCCTCTATGCTCCTGGCTACTTCTGGTCCCTTGGTGGGTGGGACTCAAGCCCAGGGCTGTGGGGACAGGCATGTTCTGAACAGACTTACTATGGAACCTTATGCCAAACCACCTTGGAAGAGGGAGGTGAGCCCCAGGGCCCAGAGAGAGGCAGCATCTCACCCGGATCACACAGCATCGGAATGATAGACATTGGAGAGTGCCTGAGTGCACTTACCTGTGCCGACGTCCTGTCTTTTCCCATCAGTCTCTGGGTGAATGAGAAACTCCAAAGATGTGTGGAATGTTTAGGGTCAGCACCCTGAGTGTCCATGAGGTCTTACTGTTTAGCTGTTCCTAGTCCAGGCTCCTGCATCTGTGTCAGATGGCTCATCCCCAGCCTTCTCTTGGGGTGCCAGAGCAAGGGCCACAGGGCAGGCCACAGTCAGTATTGAGCCTGAATCAACCCATTTACTCTCTCAACACATGACCCAAGAAGCTTGCCACAGGCCATGTGGCCACTAAGCAGAGGGTCAGGACTTCAACCACAGCCCTAGAGAGTTCCACCACTGAGTAAAATAGAAGTCAGGTCAGAGTGAACAAGGCTCTGGGAAGACATTTGCTCTAGGGTCTACTGATGATAACTGGGGAAACTGAGTCCTAGAGAAAAGAAGAGATTGCTTTATGGAGGAAGAGAATTTAGGGCCCTGAGCTCTTAGGAAATAGAATTTTCTAGCCAAAAATTGACAGAATCAGAAGAGTTTGTGTACCTCTACTCCCTAACTCCAGGTGAGGAGCTAACTTCAGCCCTCTCTCTACCTGTTCCTATCTCTTCCCATCATGTGCAAGCCTCTGCTGCAGTCCCAATAGGCTCCACCTGGTACTTTCCTTCAGATTCCTCTTCTAGCCCTCCCTTGAGATGAAGAGCTTCTAGAGGTGATGAGGGAGGCGTCCCCATGCCTTATCTGTCTGTTCTGAGGGTTGAGGCATTAACACTGTGGGCAAGCTGAAGTCCTGGCTTAGAAGAAAGGAAGTAGGGAAGGCAAAGGTTCGGCAGGGTGCTTTGCAGGGCAATTGGCAGAGCTGGCCACCATCTCACAGAAACATGGAAATAAAATTGCGCCATCGAATCCTCATCCACCGCAGCTGGCAGAGCCACTTGGGGGCATTTGAGATGTTCGGCTCTGGAACAAACCAAAGGAGGAAGAAATCATTCAAACCATCTTGGAGAAGGAGATGGAGAAAGCTGTCCTGCCCCTTGGGTTGGCATTCAGCTTGTGTTCTGGGCAGCGACATGCGTGCTGCCTCCAGCCCCTTCAGGACCACAGAGTCGTGGCTCATGTTCCCTGGATCCTCCTGTCCACCCTGATTTTCCATGCTCCACCTGGCCCCTAACCAGGCTCCCTCCTGCTCCAGCCCAAGGTGCATTCTAGGGTGGGCTCCTACTCAGCTTGACACTCCAGGTCCCATGTCCTGACTTCCTAAGCACCTTTTAAACTTTCATTTTTATCATATTTTAGGTTTTTCACCCCCTTCTTCCCTCTCTTACACATTATGTTAAAAAAAAAAAAAGTTCCCCAAACTCTGGGATCTTGTTCAGGATTTCCTAAATTGGAAAAACCAAAGCAAGTTAAAAAAACAAGACATAAAAGAAGCTTTTTTCTTTCAATTCTGGTTTTTGTTGTGCGGACACAGTAGTGCCCTGTCGCAGCCTTCCCCATCACCAGGATCTTCTGAGATTCCTGCTTCCTGCTCTTGGGGCCATACTGACCCCTGTCCTGGGGCTTGTGAGCTACTGGGGAAGACTTCCAGATGGTTTCAGCCCTAAGGGAGGCACCTCTCCATCTGGCCTGGGGGCAATCCATTTACTAGACCTGGACCAGGAGAGAGCAGAGGAGGCCTCCCTCAGCCAGGCTCAACATCGAACCTGCCCTATACATCTTAGAAGAGACCCACCCAGACCTCAGTCAGGGCCCACTTCTCCCTCTTTGCACACAGCCCTAACTAGCTGGGGATCTGGTGTTTCCCTCAATAGTGGATTAGTAGATCAAAGCCAGCTGCTAGCCCACCAGGAAGTGACAACTTGCAGCCAAGCACACCAGGCTGTTGTCCCTGCAGTCCTCACCTTTGTGTTTGACAATCGAACAGGTCATTACTGAAGAGGTTGAAGGATCATAGAAACTGTTCCACAAGTGTTGGTTTTCCATGAGAGGCCAGATGGCCTTGGCAGTGGTCTGAGCAGCTGTGGAGTGGGCGGCCCCCTCCCCTTCCATCTCCTGGGACTGCTTGCCCGCCTAGGGGATGTGTCCTTGACCCCTTTAGAGCCACAGCTGCTGCTGGCCAGACCTACTTGAGAACACCCTCCATGAGACTGGGACTCCCTGGGGTCTGCTCAGTGAGAAGGCTTCTGTGCTACATGACTTCCCTCATAATATTCTTTGCTGATGTGCACTCAGGGTGAACAGGGAGTCCCAGGTGTGTCGGGAGATCCCGGCTTCCAAGGAGACAAGGTAATTTTGTCTGAGGCCTCCACCCCTCCAACCCCTGCCCCCTACCACCCTGCTCCACTCTTCTGATCTTGGATCCACTTGTGAGGTGGCATCTCTCATCCACCCACCTCTTCAGCTTTACAGTGACTGCTGAATTTCTTTCCTGGCCCCTACTGCCTCTGTCTCAGACTGTCTTCTCTCATTGTCCCCAAACTGTCCTTTAGAGGACACAGTTCTGCTCTGTGCTCATATTCTGCCCATTCTTCTCAGCTGCTCCCAGGGCAAGTCCTGATTCCTAACTGTCCTGAGAGCCTGAGGCCCCTTGCACATAGGACTCCCCTCTCTCTTAAACACCATCTCCCTCCCCTGTCTCTATACCACCATGCTCAGAGACCATTTTTTCTACCTGCTTAAAAAGTAATTCTTTCTCTGATGCCCTGAGCAGACATCTGTCTCTCCCTCATGACACACTTCTCCCTGGATTGGGGTTTTGAGCTCAGCCTCCTGTAGACTGGGTTCTCTGAGGAACAGGGCCCTAGACTGCTCTGACAGATCTGCCTAGGCCCTGCACTCAACAATGAATATTGAAGACATGTTGAGAGGATGGAAAAGAAGGAGGAAGGGACTGACCATACTGAGAGCAGGACCAGGGGATGAACTTGTTAGGGTGGCCTTGACCTCCAGAGACCCGTTATGGCCTGCTGAGAATGTCTTCCACGCTTGAGTTACACTGTGTGGCCATACCTGGCCCTCTCCCAGCCAGCTCACTAGGCCCAGATGTTGACCAGTCCCCCTTCCCTACCTCCCATCTGGCCTGGCCTGACCCAGTCTCTGTATCTTGAGTTGTAGCATACAGGACTGACTGTGCCTTCCTTGAGCTTTGGTCTCAAGTCCCTGGTTCTGAAGGGTACTGCAGATTCCCTGGGTCCTGTAGGGGAGGCCAGGGCTGCCCCGCACCTTGACAACTAGGGCAGGTGAGAGCCTAGCTTGAGCCTGCAGCAGGAGAGGGAGGCTGTTGTCCTTCATGGAGGTGGATTTTCTAGGTCTGCTGGCAGGAGGATACTGAGGCTGCTCCCAGCTTAGCAACTCTATGATAAACCAGTCCCCTCTCTCTTTCACAGGGGAGCCAGGGCTTGCCAGGGTTCCCCGGTGCCCGGGGGAAGCCAGGGCCTCTGGTAAGTTCCTTTTTCATCCTTCAATCTGAGTATCACCTTTGGAAAAAGACTAGGATGCCCCACCTGCCCATGAAATGTGGCAGTGGTCACACATTCAACACTTCCTTTCATACTCCAGGAGTCCTTCTGCCGAACAGAGTGGGGCATGAATAGTCATTGACTCATTTTCTGGATGACGTTCTTGAAATTGAGGGGCAAGAGCCACCCCTGGTACTAGACAGGCCCCAGACCCTGCACACCAATGGGTTCTGGGAACCAGGCTCTTGCATGCCTGTGGACAGTACCAATGTCATCCATCCCTTGTCACTGAATGAGCCACACATTTATGACTTTCTTGCATGCTGCCACATGCAAGAAGCAGGTGGTGGTGGGGGTGATGGCTTGCTCCCATTTCTAGATAGCCAAGCTTAGGTTCTGAAGGCTGAAGTGACATGTCTATGTCTCCTGGCTGGTACATGTAGCAGGAGACATTGCAGTAACTGCTCCTTTCAAACTGACCAGGCAAATTGCACTCATACGGTTCCAGAACTTTCCAGCTGCCCCTAGCCTGGGATAGGGTGCGGTGGAAGGTGGGGTCCACATTCATCCTGTCTTCTCTGTGATCTTATGACTTTCACAGGGCAGAGTTGGAGACAAAGGCTCACTTGGGTTTCCTGGTCCCCCTGGTCCTGAGGTATGTGTTGCAACCCCCTCTATCCTCTGTATCTGACTAGGACTTAGTATTGTGTCCAGAAATGGTGAAGTAGTTGCTAGCAATCACACAACAAACTAGAGACAAGGCTGAAGATAGAAGTTCCCAGATCAGCCAGGCTCAGCAGTGTGTGCTATGATCCCAGCACTTAGGGGAGTGGAAGCAGGAAGACTGGGAGTTCAAGGCCAGCCTGAGATACAGAGCTAGACTGTATCTCAAAACCCAAAAGGAAAAAGAAAAGACATTCATAGATCAGCACCCCCTGCCCTCTCTTTTCCCCTCTGCTTGTCCTGTCTCTCAAGCTGGCCTCAGAGTCATTCCCTGCTAGTGACCGACCTGACTTTTGTGTCCCACAGGCAATCCCCAAAGGCTTCCAGGGCCACTGTTGCTCTCCCTCGAGAGTCATGGGATCTATTCAGAGGTTTCCTCTGAGCTTTTCTTGCCCTGGCCATGCCCCCTCCCACCAAGAACTCAGTGTTCCAGGACATGAAAAAATAAGGGGAGACGAGGTCCCCTGATTCTAGATGTGGCTGGGGAATGAGAAAGAAAAAGTGTCAGTGTCAGCCCAGCACCAGGGAGCTGAGAGGACACCTGGCTACTGCTGATAGATGTGATGAGGGGTATCAAGAGGGAATAGTCACCAACTGGCTGTGTACTCTGGTCCCACTCCCCTCTGATACCAGCGCATCACCTCAACCAGGGCGTCTGTCTACCTCAAACTTATCAGCACCCAGTCCACAGCCAGGGCTGCCTCACCCAGAGCTTCCTGGCCTCAAGGCCTTGCTCTGCCATGAGGTCCCATAGCCAAGGGAAGAGTCTGGCACTGTATCTTCTCCTGAGCCTTCCAGAGATCACTCATAGCCTCCCTCGGATAGATGAGAGCGTGCTTCTTAAAAGCCACAGTCTGATTCCCACTGTGTTGACTTTGGCCATGACACAATCCTATCTTTAGACAAATGCACTTGGCCTCTCCTCCATCCACTGCTCACTACGGAAAAAGACTCCTGATCCAGCTTTCCCAGCACCCCAGCCAGTAAGGGAGGAAACCTCGGAAACCTTGCCCCTGAACACTGACTGATGAGGCTCTACTTGGGCCAGAAGCTGGGCAGCAGCTCAGGGACAAGAGCTCCCCATACCATGGGAGGAGGAAGAGCATGGCCACAGTTCACAGATGGGGAAACAGGGGCTCAGAGCTCTGGAGGGACCTCCCCAGAGTCACTGTGCTATACAGTAGCAGTTCAGCTTGGCTCTGGCTCTCAGGATCCCCCTGGGGCCTGCCTGGCCTGTCTTCTGTGGCTTTGGTTAACTGGCTCCACATTCAAGCATGGCTCTGCTGGTAGAAGGCAGAAACCATGAGTGTGCTGGCGTCTTTGCTGGAAAGTACCTGGCCCCCAGGACCAAGGAGGGGGCCCCTGTTTACCAACCCCTGGCTGCATCACCTCCTTTGCTCATCTTGGTTGGTGTCAGCACCCTGGCTGACGTGTTCTCCCCGAAGGATTACCCCAGTCAGGGCTGATTTCTTGCCACAAGGGATCCAAGTCTTTGTGGATAGAGATTTTTAAAAAAGAATTATTATTTTTATATGTATATGTGTGTGTGCATGCTGTGTGAGTTTATGCAGACAACATGAGTGCAGGATCCCCCAGAGGCCAGAAGACAGAGTCAGATCTTTTAGAACTAGAGTTACAGGTAGTTATGAACCACCATATGGACACTAGGAATGGAACTTGGGTCCTCTGCAAGAGTATTAAGTACTTTTAACTGCTGAGCCCTCTCTCTAGCCCCATGGATGCGGGTTTTTATCAAGCACTTACTGCCAGGTGCCAAGCTAAGCACTTATCTTACATCATTCATTTCAACTTCAGCCCAGCCCTGTGAGGTGAATTGTCCAGTAACCACTTTATATGTGCAGAGAGGTTAAGGAACTTTCCCGGGATCACACAGAGAGTAGGTGGCAGGATGGGATTTTGATCTTATTTTCTAGAAGTTTTGGCTTCAATGTATTAGCTCCAAGTGCAGGATGGTTTGCACCTTTGCCAGGGAGAAGGATAAGAGGATATTTGAACCAGAATTTAACAGAAGTTAGTGCAATTTAAAAGGAAGAAAGAGAAACTTCCAACTTAAGAAAGTAAAGTGGGCTGGAGAGATGGCTTAGTGGTTAAGAGCATTGATTGCTCTTGCAGAGGACCTGGGTTCAATTCCTCGCACCCACGTGGCAGCTAACAACTGTCCTGACTTCAGTTTCAGGGGCTCTAACATCCTCTCCTGACCTCTGCAGGCATTGCACGACATACATGCAAGCAATACACTCATACACATAAAATAAAAATAATAAATGTTTTTTTAAAAAAAAGAAAGTAAAGTAGGAAGGGGCATTTTAGTCACACAGAGCCAAGGGAAGAAAAAAAAAAAGACTGTTTTCTAGCTCGCAGGCAGGAAGGGGTGGTGTTGTCCTAAAAGCTAATGGGATTGTAGGTCGAATTAACAGAACTCTTCCACCTAAAATAAGGAAAGGGGTGTTCCTATACTGGCCTATGGAAACTGGCCTGCTAGAGACAGCCAGGCCAAAGGGCGTTTTGGAATGGAAGGGACGGAGAAGGTCAAGCCTCTGGGGTGGGGATTGGGGTCCTGAGCAGCAGCCCTAGGGTGTGGAGGGGAAGGAGGCCTTTGCTCCAAGCCTGAGCTGTCTGCTGCATGGTCACTCATTGGTGGCAAGCCTCAGAGCTGCAGTCTGGCATGGGGGTGTGTGGCAGAGTCCAGTCATCCCCTCAGGATGGCTATAGCTTATGGTGAGCTTCTCAGGCAGGGTGGCTGGCTCAGGGAGCAGTGTTTCAAGAGCGTGAGATTCCATTCTGTGGGCCAGATGAGCATGTGTGGCCTCATGTGACAGCCAGCATGTGTTCCTGTAAGTTCCTGTATCTCTGTCTTTCCTTTTCTTATTTTGTCTTTTCTTTATTTTCTTCTTTCTTCCCCACCCTCTTTTGAGACAGGGTCTCATGCAGCTCAGGCTGGCCTTCAGTTCAATATGCTACGAAGTATAACCTTAAACTCCTGGTCCTCCTGCCTCTGCCTCCTCAGGGCTGAGATTACAGGCGTAGACCCAGAAGGCATCTAGTGGCTCACCTTCCCCCAAGTCACATGCCTTCAGTAGGACGGGTGGGCCCCTCCAAACTCATGGTCTTAGCACCTTCCTTTGGGCCGAGGTGACCCTACTCTCTGCTTCCCCACAGGGTTTCCCAGGAGACATCGGCCCTCCTGGGGACAATGGCCCTGAAGGCATGAAGGTGAGTCCCTTCCCGCCTCGGGCCTTTGACTGAAGGTGCTCCAAGGCCCAGTTTGGCTGCCTGGCTGAGAAACCCGGGATTCTGGTTGCCCTGTGATGAAGGTGGAGGTACTGTCCCTGAATCCTTTCTGTTCCCTTTTCTCAGGGAAAGCCTGGAGCCCGAGGCCTGCCGGGACCCCCTGGCCAGCTGGGGCCCGAGGTGAGATGGCTCTGTCCCCTCCTGTGCCCTTCTGCCTTCCCTAGTCTGTCCTAGCACCCAGCTGGCTCTGTCCAGGGTACCAAAGCCTTGACTGTAGCCAGGGCTGCTTTAGACTTGTCACCTGAGCATCTTTTTCATTCTAGCCTTGCCCTGTGATGTTTCCAGGGACTTCTCTGACCTTGTGGGGGCGGAGTTGCTCCCTTCCACAGCTGCATCTCTAGTCCTTGTCATAGTTTATTGGGGTATCTATATAGGAGGATAGAAGTGTCAGCCCCTTCTTACAAGTGAGGGCTCAGAGATCCAGGGAGAGAAAGGACTGCCAGGCCCCATCAAACCCAGGTCTTTCTCAGCTCAGAGTCCATGCCACATCCCCTGACGTTCTCAAATGTGCTCCTGGAAGCCACCAGGGATCGGGCAACCTATATCTCACATAGTTGGTGCCAACAGAGCTGTTGGAAGAGGAACTTGCTCATCTGCACCTGGTGGGGAGGAACAGACCACGGGGGCTTATTGGGTCCTCCACAGGCAGCCTGCGTTTTGCCTGCACAGAAGCCCTCAGCCTTGCTTGGCACCATGGCCCATAGGTTTGAGAGAACAAGCAACCACAGGCAGACCTCTGCTGACACAGTCTCTTCTCTAGGCTGGTGTAGGTTTGGCAGAGCCCCAACACTGGCTCTGGGAGCCACTGCATGGGGGCTGCTTTCCTGGAAGCTGGGAAGAATTGCTGTGGGGACAACTTTGAAGGGCCTGTGGTCAGGCCCAGGCTGCCAAAGGGTCAGGCTGGAGGTTATGTGGCCCGCAGAGGGCTAGGGAGTCATGTCCGAGAGTGGGAATGGAAGGGAGATACAAGAGGGATGGCCACAGCCCTGGGCCTCTGTCTGTGCTCATGAAGCCACTCAGCAAGACCACTTACTCCTTCATTCACCCCCCCAGACACACTGCGCCTTCCCTAGCACTGTGTGCAGGGCAGAGTGGCATCCGACAAACAGCAACGTGCCATCCCTGTTCCCCAGGGTTCTGCTGACACCAGTCACGTGCTTTGGGAGGGTCCTCATTCTGGGGGAAACTGAGGCACTGCAGGGCTAAAGTCTGCTATGGAGTAAACAGCAGAGCTCAGAACAAAGTCTGTCTCTGGGTTGCAGCCTGAGGTTCCATTCCTCAACAGCCAAGTCACTGAGATGTGTGGCCTGACTTGGGTGGTGACTAATGGGGACCCCTCCCCAAACCAGGTGGGACCAGTCTATGGGCCAGGCACTCTATCCACCCAGGAGGACTCTACACAGTCCTCCCCTTTCCCTCCTTTTACAGCACAAGTTCTCCCAAAGTCCCATGATTAACTATCTCCTTTTGACTCTCTTTCCTCATGTTCCCCCACTCTAGGGAGATGAAGGACCCATGGGGCCACCAGGGGTCCCTGGCTTGGAGGTGAGTGCTGTTGGCCTGGAGGGGGGGATTTGCTGGAGCTGAGGCAGTGGGTACAGGGCAATTTCTGGCTAATGTCTAGAGAGTAGCCAGCAGGGAGGTCCTCTGGCCAGTCAGAGAACATAAGAGAGACCCAGAGGAGAGAGACTGCAGGCTGGCATCCATGGCTTTGCCTGCCTGCCCTGTATGTGTCGGGTACTGTGTGACTGTTCCTTTATTTATTTTCTCACTAGCCACCCATTTTGCTCAGCCTTATCGGAGAGGAGAAAGGGAGGCTGGGAGAGTGGAAGGTCCAGCCCTGGGTCCCATAGCCAGGATGTGGGGGTGCCTGCCTGGAGCCTGAGAACTTGTTTCTTCCCCAGCTCCCAACAGCCTTGCAAGAGCCTCTGGCCCACCCTCTCCTCCAGCCATGATGCCAGACCTTGAGGCTTCTGGTTTCTGTATCTCCTTATACTCAGAAAGGATGGGGTACCTAAGAACGTGTGCTAGTGTGGGTCACATCTACTGATGTGAATAATTAAAACCAACTCCCTTTACATATGTTTATTAATTCGGTATAAATTAATAATAAGCCCATTTTGCATAAGCAGCAACCGTTTTTGCCAAAATGTATTTTCCAAAGTGAAATAACTGGGTGGGAAAGTGGCATTGCTCTTCCATTTTGTAAACCTCTCCACGCCAGTGAAGCCAGTGGGTTCTCCCTTCTGTGTCTGCGTCAGTCTGTGACAACACCGTGTGTCACACTACCTCTGAAATCACACCTGCGAAGGTGGGCGTGGTAAGGACAGATGCCATCCCGGTGCCACTGTCAGGCAGACTTGCCCGCCTGACCCTCCTGAGCCGGTGTCAGGGATCTCCAGGGTCCTCAAGCCCCACTTCAGTAGCTCTGCAGTGCCCTGTGCCAGGTGCTCTGCCCAACCCCTTCCTGTCCTGTTGTGTTGAAAGCTGGTGTCATTGTTCCCATTCAGGACAGATGGAGGAAGCTCTCCTGAGGTCACACAGCTGGATTCCTTTGTCTACCTTTCTGGTGGCACTGGCATTCAACATCACAGTCCCCTCCAGAACATAGACTCTCCCTGTGCTGGATGGCTGGGGTTCCCCAGGGCCCCTCAGCACTATCTCTCTCTCTCTCTCTCTCTCTCTCTCTCTCTCTCTCTCTCTCTCTCTCTCTCTTCTCTCACTTTTCTCTATTGCAGGGCCAGCCTGGAAGAAAGGGATTTCCTGGGAGGCCAGGCCCAGATGGCTTGAAGGTAAGGGGACCTAGGCATGCCTGGGGGTAGAGTGGGAATTTAAAAGGGAAGGGGGTGGGTCCAACATATAAGGCCCTACCTGGGACAAGCCCCAAATCTCTGTCATGGCCAGTTGTGGAAAGGGCAAGAAAAGGGGTCCTTATTTATGCCAGAGTAGTGGTAACAGAGGAGGAAGAGGAAAGTAGACATAACCTAAGTGTCCAACCATGGGGGATTGTTCAAGTCATGGGATGTAGGGCAGACACTGTGGGGCTGGCTATGAATAGGAGCTTAAGCAGGGCTTTGGCACCTGCCCCCTTCCTGTGCTTTGCAGAGGCCTCCTCCTGAGTGGAGGATAGGAGATTCTGTTTTCTCCTCTGGGCCTCTATGTACTCCCCTGGTGTACAATAAACATACATTACATTTGTTAATGGGGCTTTTGTTTTCTAATGATCAAAACAAGAACTTACCCCAGTAGGAAGGTGGATTGCTTTTCTTGTCCCTGTAACAAAAATATCCAATAGAAAGCTAGTTAAGGGAAGAAGATCTTATTCTGGTTTAAGAAGGTGCGGGCGGAGACTGGAGAAATGGCTCAACAGTTAAGAACACTGGTTGTTCATGCAGAAGACCTGGGTTCAAATCCCAGCACCCACATGGCAGCTAGCAAATGTCCATAACTCCAGTTCCAGGGGATCCGACAACTTCTTCTGTCCTCCGCGGGCATTGCACGACACGGGTGCACTTACCTACATGCAGGCAATATGCTCATACACATAAAACAAAAATTATAAAAATATTTTTTAGAAAAGAAGGTACCAAAAAATTAATATTAAAAAAAAAGAAGGTACAGGCCACCGTGGCAGGGAGGGTGTTCGCAGTTCAAGGTGGAAGGAGCATGTTGCTGGGCCTCCTTATGCCTACAGAGCAGGAAGCAGAGAACAGGGAATGCCAGTGCTCAGGCTTTCTCTGTTTTCCCTTTTTAGTCAGTCAGGCCCCCAGTCCCAGGAGTGGTGCGGCCCACATTCAGGGCAGGTCTTCCTTTCTCAGTCAAACCTCTGGAAATATCCTCATAGATACACCCATGTGTTTCCATGGTGATTTCAAATCCAATTAGGTTGACAATAAAGATTAACCGTCCCAGTGGATTTACGAGGATGCCCTGGTAAAGGGGCTGTGTTGGGCCATGTTTGTGGATGGGTGGGAGACAGGAGGATAGGAGGCAGCCAGAGGAGCCCTTGGGCCCTGATGATACTCTCTCTCCATGGGAATAAGTGGCCACATGTCTGGCTTGGCCCTGCCAGAATTTGTGAGCATGAGGTCTGGGGACAAGGTGAATTGAGGATGAAGTTCTAACAGAGACACATGAGCTGTGATATGTTCTAGCCAAGTGCCTATCAATGTGAGCCCATGTCCTGCCTGCTGAAGTCTGCCACTGCTCCATCAGACACTGGGTTTCTGTGGTGGGAGGTGACACATCTGGGTGGATTTATCTCAAGGTTTTATTGATTTTGGCCTCATCATACTACAGAGAGAACCAGGGCTCCTGTGACCACCTATAAAACAGGATCTGCCCTAATAGAGACAATAACTGCCAGGCACAGCCATGACGGACCACCACAAAGCTGGGAAGCTGAGCCCAGCACAGAGACAAGACTCTTCAAGGCTATCTGGGACCTGGGAGCCGAGCTCCAGAGGGCTGAGATGTAAATTCCTGAGGCTCTTTATATGCAATTCCCAGCTCTCCCTGCAAGGGGCAACCTGAAGTACTAGGAATGGTCATCTCCATCAGACCCACCAAGGTCCCAATCTTAGCCCTCCTACCTGGCTCTGTGACACCTCACTCAGGCTTCTACCTTTTTGGGCCTCAGTTTCCACCTTCACAAAATGTACCAGGTTGCTAGAGGTCCTGCACATACCAGGATGCTGGGGAACTCTGCTACCCATTCATAGGGAACAAGTGACTAGACTAGTGTGGGGTAGAAGTGTGGTCCCCTTTGCTCCCTGCTGGCTCTTTGAATTCTCCAAGGCCACAGTCTGGAGTTGGAGCTCCTGGTCTATCTCCACCAATGACAGCCAAGGCCACTGGACCTGGAGACTTCCTCAGGGGTTTCAGAGTCCCACTTCCTATCCCAACCAGTCCTCCTCTTTGTTTCTTTGCAGGGGGAACCGGGGGATCCTGGACGGCCAGGGCCTATGGGCGAGCAGGTAAGTTAGTAATGGCATCAAGATAGTGGTTTCTTTGTGGAGCACTTACCTGTGAAAAGCCCATTGCTAGGCAGTCCTGCGTACCACTACCTCACTTAGTCCTCTGGCTAATGACACAACAGAGTCAGGTCTCTTACTCTCAGAGAAGGGAGGTCCCTGGACAAGATCCTTCCTTCAGAACTAACTCTAAAGATTTTATTTTATAATTATGTTGGGGGAGGGTGCATGCAGAAGTCAGAGGTTCAAATCTCCCAGGAGCTGGAGTTTTAGGCAGTTGTGAGCCTCCTGACATGGGTGTTGGGAATCGAACTTGGGTCCTCTGCAAGAGCAGTGTGTGCTCTTAACTGCTGAGCCACCTCTCTAGCCCGAGACCTGACTCTTGAGTATACTTTTTGGTGCATTTTCTCAAAAGGTCACTGTGACTTCACCCCCTAGAACTGGGGTTACACTAGGAAGCCCCCCAAATTGCTGTGTTTCCTTGGCTAGAGAGAGGAAGGGGCCTCACTAGGGGCTCATGGTCTAGGCTTCCCTAAGTTGTAAAGATGAGATTCAAACAGAGGCTCTGTTTAGCTGGGAAGCAAGGCCAAGGTCAGCAGAAGAGGCAGTTTCACTGCTCATTCAAAGGAGATTTGAGGACTGCCACCCTCAGCTACCAGTTAAAGCTCTGGTTGCTGTGTGGACACTTCCTTGGTCCTCCCTCCAGACCCCAGTGCCTCCCACAGGCTTAGCCTCCAGGCTCAGAGCTGGAGGCAGGGTGATCTCTACTCCTGTAAATGAGAACCCCAGAAGGGGCTTCCATAAACAAGACGGGGGAAGGATGCTGGGGTGCTCAGAAGGATTCGATTGTGTCCAGAAGCCTATCCATGGCGTGAGACTCACACGAGACAGACTTCCTTGCAAGGCCTGCAACATCTGTTGAGGGGAAAGACAGGAATTAAAGCTGGGGGGAGGCCTGCATGTTTGAAAACTTTCCAGTGCAATTGGAGCACATTCTGTGGGAAGCCAGGAGTTTGGGAAGACTGCTGAAGCCTGGATGTATTTCCTGACTGGAAAAAAAGGGGGACCTGCAGAATGTGATCAGCAAATTTGGGTTCAAAATTATGCTAATGATAGGCCCTGTGGAAATAGATCCTCCCACTCTCAGACCGTCAGGGACACAAGGGACGGACCCTTAGAACTCACTTTCTCTAGGGCACAGACCATCTTTTGTGTGTGTGTCTTAGATGCCTTTGCTGAGCTGAAGAAGCCCATGGATGCCCTTCTGAGAGTAGCTTTTAGATAAAGCCAAAAGGGAAGGATTCAAAGGAAACCAGTTACATCGAGATGCACAGTGAAAACCTGTCCAGATATGGCACACTCCTATCTGTGCTTAATTACTACACCAAATAATGACATCTAACAGTGACCTCATTGTTGCCAATTGATGACAAGCTGTAATCATGCTTTTGAGATCTCCATAAGGATGGCTATCCCATGACATGTGACTATCTGGGACAGTCATGCATGTTAGACACTACTGGTTGCCTATACTCATATTTAAAGAAAACATAACATCTTAATGTAAATAAAGTTGTAAATTTTTCTGTTCAAGTTCACGGACCCTCCAAATTCCATCCATTAAGGTTTACAGAAACTCCAGGTTAAGAATTCCTGGATTCTGACCCACATTGGCAATTTGGGATACATAGGAGAAAAAAAATGGGGTCAACAGCACAACTACAAGGGGTCATGGCCAAGCTGGGGCCAAGAAGAGTGAGCACCTGGCCTGGGATGGCCTTGGCTCACAAGGGCAGCAGAATCCCCAGCTGTCCACAGGTGTGTGTCCACAGGTCATTGAAAGCGGTGACAGGAAGGAAGGCCGTTGGAGCCGGGAGTCAGTGCTGGGTCACGTGTTTGCTGTAAGGCACTCTTGTACCAGCCCTTTTCCATGTGGTCACAGCAAAGGGGGTGGGTGGTTCCTGTTCCTGGCTCCCCAGGAAAGAGCTTATGAATTCACACCCAGGCTTTGCTTGTGATCACAGTAATAGCTTCATTTATTGGTCACCTGCGAGGTACCAGGCTCTGTGCCAAACACTGTAGACAGATGCCTGCATTCCCTCCAGTAGCCCTGTTATTACTCCCATTTTGCAAATGAGGAAACTGAGGCTCTGAGAAATTAAATAGATTGTCCAAGGTCTCCTAAGCAGTAGCATAACTGAAAACCCACGTAGACTCTTAGAGATTCTAGGTTCCCAAGGGCTGTCCAAACAGGCAGGAAAATACCTTGACTGCCAGAATGCTTGCAGATAAATCTACCACTGAGCATGAACTGCTTGCCAGGCCCTGTCCTAGGTACTGGGAATAGGGCATGAGCCTTATCTTCCAGGATCCCTGTCCAGGGACAGTAAGCATGTTAACACTTACCTGGAGCTGTGGTCCAGCTGAGGATGATGCATGGCTGTGCGATTTTCAGAAGCAAGCACCCCCAGTGCCCAGCATGAGAGGGAGGGGAGACGCCATCGTAGTAGATGATGACACTTTTTCAGGAGGCAGTGTGGGGACCAGACCAGCCTCCTTGACAAATTTAGGGCTCAGATCCTGTCTCTGCAATGCCTGTTCAGGTAATGTCTTCTCCTCCTGGTGCCCTCTAGAGAGGAGCCAGCTGTGCCCCTGGCTTTCAGACCTACCTCTCTGTCCAGCCTATCAGATGGAAACTCTGAGCCTCTGAGGCCATTGCCCTTCTAGGTGATACCCCCCTACACAGAGCACACCAGGGGGTTCTGGGGGCCAGCACATCCTGTGCAGGTACTCCTGTACTCATTCAGATCCTGTTTGACTTCTTGGAAGTTTATGGCTCACCTGCCTTCTAGGTCCTGGCAAGGCATAAATTTCAGGTAGCTATGAAATTCTCCATTCTCCAGACCATTCAGGGCCTCCCTGGCAGGGAGTTCAGGCTCTGTCTCAACCCTGTACCCTTTGAAAAAATTAGGGTCTTGAACACTCTGAGCCACCAGGAGGTGAGAGGGACTTTTATTGTTGTCCATTTCATAGATGAGGTAAAGGGCAGATGAGCAGTGTTCCCAGGACTCATAAACCTGAAGGCTGAATGACACTGACATAGGTGGAGGGCCAGATGTGAGGCTTGGCACGTAGTGAACCCTCAGCCTATGGAACCTGTGGGCATTGATACTGCTGGCACCTTAGAAACACCCCAGTTTGCTTGTTTTATTGTTTGTTGTTTTTGTTTTTTGAGACAAGGACTCACCCTATAGCCCTGGCTGGCCTTGTACTTGCTATATAGTCTAGGCTGGCCTCAAACTCAGCCTCCCAAGTGCTAGGATTACAGGTGTGAGCTATTACACCTGCATTTTGTTTTATTTTGTTTAAGGCAGTTGTTGCAAAAGTGAAATATGTATTTGGCTGTTGTTCATGACATACTAGCCAGGAGTCGTTCCATAACCCTCTTATGTCATCTTTTGCTCTGAAAGGGTCTCTGGGCTGGGAGCCAGGGCCAGGCCAGAGCCCTCTCCTGTGGGTGGCAATGGTGCTGTCAAGTGACAGAGGTCTGCCCTATCATGCCCATGCTTTGGGGTTTCCAGTGGAGGGAGGGTACAGGGGTGTTGGGGGGCACACTGACCCTGTTGAAGTTACAACACATTTGTGGTCCCAAGAACTTGCCACTTACAGCTGTCCTTGGGGAAGGAAGAAGGGCCTCCCTCATTCCCAAATCCCTGGCGGTTAGTCAGGCTCTCCTGCCTGAGCACAGAGCCTCTGCACTGTTATCAGCTCCATGAATAGCCTCACTCTGGTCAGAAGGAATTGGGGCACCAGGAAGTAAATTTCCTAGGTCAAACCCACCCATCCTCATGTTTCCTCATTCTCTGGAAAATACCCGACTGTATATCTGGGTTCTTGCAAAGCTGCATTTGCCGTCCTGATTCACACAGAAATCCTCTGAGCATGCACCTTTGTGGAGGGAAGGTGGGCCCCAGCGAGGCCTTGCTCTGCCTCCCTGTGGACTCTAGGCTGTTCACCTACCCTGTTGCTCCCACACGCTTGTCTGCTCAGGGTGACAGCAAGGCCACCAAGAGAAACCTCCTGGGATCCAGAGGCAAGTGGCTACTCAGTGGAGTTAAAAGAGAGAGAGGAGTGTGTGTGTGTGTGTGTGTGTGTGTGTGTGTGTACATGCACATGCATTTAGCAATTCAGAGGGCGATAGAGGCCTCCACTTCCCAAATTCCAACCCAGTATCTGGTGGAGGCTGTTAGGATATTTCTGTCCCAGCCAGCAAGTTTGTTTTTCTCTGAAACAACCCCAGAGCCCCCAAAGATGGGGACAGATGGCCTCTCTCCAGCTCAGTCACCCCCCCACCCCCCACCCAAGCCCTCCAAATGTGGTGGGCTCCCAGCCTGCTTCTGGCACGGGAAGAATGCGCAGCTTCCAGGGTTGCTGGCAGCAGCCCTACTGCTTGGCTCTCAAATCAGAACCATCTGGCGAAGCAGAGGAGAGGCAGCCCAAAGGCTGTGCTCATCCATGGAAATCTCAGCCTGCTGGGTCACTGGAAGTTGGGTGGAAGGCACACAAGGGCTGAGCTCCAAAGAAGGGTAAGCCTTGAACGCTTAACATGCCCCTAAGCTCACTCATTTTCGCCATGTGTCCTTCAGGGGCTTCTAGGATTCATTGGTCTAGTTGGAGAGCCCGGAATCGTTGGGGAAAAGGTAAGCAAATGTGGTAGAGAGCAAGTTGTACTTGTGTTCTGTGACCTGGGAAAGAGGAGGGTTAGTGGGCCTGGGGGCTGCAGACACAGCTGTCTCCCTCTGGCCCTGGCATTCTGTGTCCTTTAAGAGCCCCCCCCCGGCCTCCAGTCTTTATCACCCACAAATACATCTCGACTTTTGTGTGGCCATCAGCCACAGGACCTCACAGCTACCCACGGGCACCCCCCACCCCCAGTGTGGGTAGCAGAGGTTCGGAGCAATTCATCTACGAAGATGGGAGTAGGCACTGCCTTGGGTGCCTCCATGGCCCCTGGATGCTTCGTCTTATGGAGAAGGTCACTGAGATCCCTGCAGAAGAGGTCGCTTGTTCAGGGTTACCCAGATTGTAAGTGACCGAGCTGGGATTTGAACCAGATCCATCACCATAGGCCAAAGTTTGCCCACTAAACCTCTCAACCAAGCAGTCTATGATTTCCCTTGTCCCTCCAGGAACCCTAAAGGGTCCCTGCCTTTATCTGAGCTTATGTGATGCCCAGAGTAGGCCTTCTAAGAGAGCCAGTGTTAACCTCCATTGGAAAGATAGGAAAATGGAGGTCCAGCCTCATCTGACCTCTCCTAGCTTTGCAACTCAAGCACCTCACTCTGTGTCCCAGAGCCTCTGGTTTCTACTTTCCTCCCTCTGTTCCTCCTCTTCCTTTAACTTAAACTGTCACCAAAAGCTGCAAACTGCATATGGAATGCTCCACGTACTCTTTACCCCACTTCCCCTGGTGCTAACACCTGATGTAACCACTGCCCTGCAGCAAAGTGAATTCTGGTCTATTGCACATGTTCCCCGTGCCCCTTCTCACCTGTGGACCCTTGCTCTGGACAGGCCTCTTCCCACGCTACCCACCCATGTCCTTTCTGCCAGCATCACTACTGGTGATTCTTCCAAGGAATCTTCTGGAGCTTCCTTTACCACCAGGTGGTCACATCCACTGTGGCAGTGCCTAGCACTGGCCCTGCTCCCTGCACCTGTTCCAGGCTGCCTCTCTTCTGAAGGCACCTGGCATCTCCCTGACACACTGAGTGTCTTGCATTGTGGGAATGGATCTGTTCCTTCTCTTCATGGAATGCTGGCACCTGGCACATAGTAGTATCAGCACACAGTGGATGCTCAATTCATTTTTGCTCCTTGGATGAAAAGGAGAAATGGGATCTTGCAGAAACTGTGGCAGAATGGCTTTAACTCTGCTTGCTGCATGTTTGGATTGGTCTAGAGGGCATCACTGATGTCTGATTCTCTGGTGTGCCAGGGGTGGGGGGTAGGGGTAAGCAGAGAGAAAGGTCTCTGGGGGGGGATGCCAGGCCTAATGAGGACCACGTGATGTGGGCCAGGATCAAAGAGGTGATGTAATTACTGCACCCCTCATCAGGACCATCCTGGCCCACGGACATGCCCTGTGCTGCCCTGCAGGGAAAGCTGAGGTTTCCTGCCAGTGAAATCACTCCCACCAAACAGTATAAGCCCTGATGAGCCAGGGAGACTCCCTAGACCATTGTCAAGTCCCTGTTTCTCTTTGGGTCTCTGATCCCACAGTCCCCACAGCTCCAGCCATGACCTGTGTACTTTGCTATCCCCACCTCAGGGTGACCGTGGCATGATGGGACCTCCAGGTGCACCTGGACCCAAGGGGTCGATGGTAAGGAGTAAGTCTGCGTCTTCTTCCCTGTCATAGCCTTGGGTGACAGTCCTGTTTCCTCCACTTGCCACATGATGTAGATGACCAGGATGCCCATCTCCCCGCATCCCTGGTCTGGTGTGTGCCTTCCCGACCCTGGCCTGGGGCTGATCCCCTGACATGGGCCTGAAGGAGGATGTGGCACCTTCTTCAGCTGACTCTTCCTTTTTCTTCCTCCTTGGCAGGGCCATCCTGGAACACCAGGTGGTGTTGGGACACCTGGAGAGCCTGGACCCCCGGTAAACAAAATCCTCATGTCCTTTGACTACAAACACATGGAGTTCAGATGGCAGGTCTCAGACCTGGGTAGACACTCAGCCTCTGCCCCCTGCCTGTGTTCAGGGGCAGATCTTACAATTCCTCTGAGCTCAGTTTTGTTCATATAAAATCTAGAGCACATTGAGACAGTAGTGATAGTAGGACAGCATGGGCTGAAGGAAGCTCTGGGGCTCAGATTCCTTACAGGGTGACATGTGTGACACAGAAGCAGCTTGGTCATGTCCTTCCTGCCCTTGTCCCTTCACCCAGTCAAGATATACTCAGTAATCTGGGGACATAGATGCCAATGGGGCAGAAAGCAGCCTATCTTCGGGAGGGGGGTCAGGTCAGAACTTGACAAACCAGAGATGCCTGCTGGGGAGGGCCAGGGCTTTCTGGGATGGCAGAGGACATGGGGATTTTCTGGAACCTCCCAAGGCAGGGTGAGGGAGAGGAGGGAGGGCTGCAGGAGGCATGTGGCCAGGAACACTTGAAGTTTGAAGTCCTTCTGCTGCTTCTTGTGGTGGATGGAACTTGTGGAAGAGGACTCACAAAAGCCAAGGTCAGAGCTCAGATCTGGGAGTCAGTCAGGGTGGGGTTTAGGCATGTGGTGCTTATGAGGAGGTTGTGGGTAGGGGGCAACCTGGCTGTAGCCCAGGACAGATCTGGAATAAGTTCCAGTTAACCCCAGTTGAAGGAGCTCTGTAGGGCACCTCTGATGGCTTGAGCTGGGGCAGGGGCTCCCCCACACCAGTTCTGTGTGCGGAGAAGGGCTAAGTCCATTCCCAACTTGTTTCATAATACTACTGTGTACTGGACATATGCTGTACCCTGGGGGTGCAGAAATGGTAAGAAACAGACCCCATTCTTAAAATTGTCCCTATCCAGTGAGGTGTCAGCAAAAGCACTCTTTAACCATTGACAGGTGTCTCTCAAGCACCTGCTGTATGTGTACCAGGCAATGTTAGGAGCTAAAGAGAGGCATGAAGGGACTCACCCAACTGTGATAAACCTGGACATGTGTAGCTGTCACCTAAAGCAGGTGCCAAGTACCAGGTGGCTGTACCCTCCCCCACAGTCCTTTGATCCAGGTGGAAAGTTTTCTGGGCAGAACCACCCCCTAGGGTCCCAATAGCTTGCATCTTTTTACCCTGTTCATGAGAAGGAAAAGCCGCATGTGGTCAGGGGTCTGGAAGTGGGGCTATGGTGTGGAGAAGCAGGAGACCAGAGGGCAGTCCCAAGGGTCTAGCCTCTCACCCTGTGTGGGCAGTACCCATCAAAACCCAAGTCCAGGAGTGCTTAGGGTTCACCATCAAATTCTGCTTCCTGGGGCTGAGGTGACAGCTCAGTAGGTAAAACGCTTGCTGTGTAAGCATGAGGACCTGAGTGCGAATCTCCAGCATCCATGTAAAAAGTCAGGCATGGTGGCAAGCACCTACAATCCCAATACTAGGGAAGTGGAGACAGGAGGATCCTGGGGGCTCACTGACCAGCCAGCTTAGTTGAATTGGTGAGCTGCAGATTCAGGGAGAGACCCCATCTCAAAAAATATGGGGGAGGGTGAAAGAAGAAGACACCCAGAGTAGACCTCTGATTGCCACATGCACACAGGTGTGTCCCTCACACTTGTGCACACACACACACACACACACACACACACACACACACACATCATGCTTCCTGTGTTCCTGGGCTTCAGTCTCCTCATCTGTTCCCTAGAAGAAGGGAAGCTCAGAGAGGAGTTGCTGAGACAAAGTGGGAGGCCAAAGGGGTGGAAAATGACATGGACCATGCAGGTGCCCCGGGCCTTCTCCGAGCCCTCAGCTCCCACAGTTGCTTCCTGGCTGCTTCTGCCTAATCAGTGGGTAGACTCAGACTTAACAGCAAGTCAGTCACTTGCCATTCTTAGCTGCAAGGGTGGCCTTTGATCTTTCCCTGCCACTGCATGTGACTGGTCTTCCAGATACCTTGGGGCTCCTCTGCCGAGCCAAGCTCTGGAGCAGCATGGAAGCCCAGAACCTCCCTTCAGAGTCCAAGGTGTGGGGGGTTTCAAACCTGGCTCCCCCATTCCTGCTGTGTGGCCATTGGTCATATTCCCAACCTCCTCTGCCTCAGTTTCCCCAGCTGACAGTCAGCACTGTGCTGTTATCACAGGGAGACTGTGGTGAAAGGCATTCAGTATCATGTGTGCTGTGGTGCCTAAGCATCCCATAGACAGCAACAACTACTTGTAAGACATGGTAATTGCTGTGCCAATGGTACTTATTGGACTATTGCCGTTGAAGTATCCTTTCTGCCACCCTGTGCTCATCCCACAAGCGTTTTTCAGTTGCATTGACGTCCTCTCTGCAGGCCTCTGACCTCATTCCCAGTCCTATTACTGGCTGTGGGGAGGCAGGTGGGAAGGACTTGGGACTTCCTGAGGATGCTACAGGTCCCTTCAGCTCCCAGCAGCCCAGGGAAGAGGGACTGTTCTCACTCTCATGCTGTAGATAAGGAAACTGAGGCTCACAGTGGTAAGATGACTTCCCTGAAGCCACACAGCTAGTGGCAGGGAACTAGGCCCTGCTTTAGTGTTTCAGTCTGACCTTGGAAACTTCAAAGAGTTTGGCTCAGCCTCCATGCAGAACCTGGCTCCGGGGCCTTGGGAGATGCACTGCTGTGTCCTCTAGAAGAACAGCAAGTGCTCTTAACCACTGAACTACATCCCCAGCCCTTACCCCTGCCCCCTAAATTTTCTGCAACTCCGAGTATATAACTATACAAAGCAAACATTTACTGACAATAAATCATAACAGTTTCCTTTAAAACAATTCTTTGGTATCCATATCATTTTGCCATTTCTTAAATATGAGAGCAAGCTTGTATACCAATGAGGTGAATATGCTTGCTAACTTTTACACAGAGCAGCAAATCTTGGCTGAATATTTGATACTGCAGGAGGTAGAGCATCTTCAGTGTTTTTCAGAGTTGATTGACAGATGTTTTAATTTTACAGTCCTCAATGCTGAAAATACTGTTTTGCATAAATAAGTAGTAAAAAGTGGCAGAAGGGGTGCTGGAGAGATGGCTCAGCAGTTAAGAATGCTGAATGTTCTTGCAGAAGACCCAGGTTCGAATCCCAGCACCCACATGGCAGCTAACAACTGTCCATAACTCCAGTTCCAGGGGATCTGACAGCCTCTTCTGTCCTCCGAGGGGATTGCACGACACGGATGCATGTACCTACATGCAGGCAATACATGCATACACATAAAAATATAAAAATAATAAATAAAATATTTTTTTAAAAAGTGGCAGAAGGATGTTTGAGCCATTTCAGAAATTATTGAAAATTTTGTCCTAATCCCAAGCCAAAATTCATTATTTTCTTCTTTAATAAAATTCAAGTCAGTAACTCAAACAGCACTGAAAACTAAATATTCTAACACAACACAATGCAAAGATGGACAAATTTGGCACTTACATGCTGACAAATGGTGATGGGAAAATATTTAAAAGTCTTTGTTTCTAGTAATTGGGGGGGTCTTTTTGAGACAGGGTCTCCCTGTAGCCCCAGCTGGCCTGGAACTCACTATGTAGACCAGGCTGGCTTCGAACTCAGAGAGATCCACCTGCCTCTGCCTCCCAAGTGCTGAGATTAAAGGCGTCTGCCACCACGCCTGGCTCATTTTCAGACATTAAACTGTTAAATTCCATCATTAAACTGCTATATTTCTGTAAGAGCAGGAAGTGTTGCCCCGTAGAAATGCTGCGGTTCTTGACATGCAGCAGTCTAATGCTGCGGTTCTTGACATGCAGCAGTCTGGAATCCAAGCTAGGGTGTTTCACTTCACATTGTTCGTTGGTGATGCATGGTTGATGGCATGCACAGTGCAGTAGTATGTGTGTTGTATGGCCCAGAACCAAGGCCCATACAAAGCAACATGGGTGAGCGCTGCCAGAAACACTTCAGGCTCCCCATGTGTTTGATTTTGAGTTAACTTTTGGTCATTATACATCCAGAGACCTCCAACTGCTGCTAAAAATTTCTCAACCCCCACATTCAGTTATGCAGCTCCATGTGGGGTCTCAAACCACAGTTTTAAAAGCTGTAAACTAGGCTGGCCTTGAACTTGCAACCATCCTCCTGTCTTGGCCTCCCTAGACGAACTACAGGCGTGTGGCAGCTCAGTCCTGTCCATTGTTCTGCCTCTCCCCATTCTGTCTTCTCCCTTGACCCAACAGATTCCTCCGTGTCCTTTCCCAAGGTTCTTGTTGCCTGGGGTTCGGGGGAACCTACCCAGGGTTATGATTGGTGTTAGGTGGGGGTGAGGGACACAACTTGAGTCCCTGTTGAAGAGAGAAAGGGTCGTGGGGATTGAAGGAGATGTTTGTCACACATACCACTATGGCACGATTTTGAGCTAAAGGAAGAGGCTCTGCCCACCTGGGTCCCCAGGGCATGGGCTGTGCCCAAGGTTGTAGTATGCCAGCCACTTCTCCCAGTGGGTTAGATGCCCATCCCTCAACATAAGTGGGTGCTGGGCCCAGTGGGGTGTTCCCTGAGCAGTTCCCACTGAGCTGGGCCCCACGATCCCCAGCATTGCTCCTATTCCCTGAAAAGGGCTCTTGAACCCTTTTTCCTCCCCACAGGGCCCTTCAGGATCCCGAGGCCCACCAGGCATGAGGGGAGCCAAGGGGCGCCGGGTAAGTGAGGCCGCTCCTGCTGCCTGTCCCCTGCTCTACTCTGACTCTTGTGATTTCTACAGTACTGGCTGGGAGTCCAGGCACATCCAGAGCTGGTGCTGGAGGCAGAACCCTGGCCATCCTCCCAGCCTACCGTGCCTCACACCTGGCTGTCCAGCAGGTGCAGTGCCGGACATCCATTCCTCTACTCACTCTTTCAGCTACCGTGGACCTAGCACCTACTGTGTGAGCCATCACTGGAGGCTCTGTAGACACCTAGGAGAATAGGACAGCCCTGACCCCTGCCTAGCCTCATAACCTGTCACAGGTTATACACAGATCTTAACAGCTATGGCTCTTCTCTAGAGGTAGTAGAGAACCATAGAGGATTTAAGGCAAGAACTGGCCTGAGCAGGGTAGCCTGGGAGAGCTCATCAGCATTTTGTGCCTCTTGCTGTCTGTCTCATGCACTAACTCATTTCATCTTCAGCATTACCCTGCCAGGGAAGTGCTGTTTTCCTGAGGAAATGTAGGCACAGGTAGGTTAAGTCACTTGCCTCAGGTTGCACAGCTAGAAAGTGGCAGAGATTAGCTTTGAACCCAGAGAATCTGGCTCTTTGACATAATGGATTCATACAGAATCCATTTTTTAGTCATACAGAGGGGGTGGATGGAATGGTCTTCTACCTACTGGTATGCATGTGGTCTCCTTGTGAAGAAAAACAAAATGGTGTTCTCATCCCATGCATTGCTTTCCAAACAACATACAAGGAATCTGATACTATTCTGCCCTTGGCTGGACTCCATCTGTTTTGAAGATTTTCCCCTGAACCAGATGGCCTGAGCAGTCAGCCTGAGGTTGGGGGTTGGAGGGGGGGATGGTAAGGAGGCATAGCTCTGACTGCCAGGGTCCCTCCCAGTCCCCACACCTTCCAGGTCTCTTTCAAGTGGGACAAAGCTTGAGGATTGCGGTGTGAGCTGTGGAGTCCCAGGCCCTCTTCACTACCACAGAATGAGCTGTCCAACACCCCTTCCCAGAAGTGACTAGAACATCTCCCCCAGCTTGAGGAAAGCCAGGCTCTCAGCCACATCAAAGTGTTCATGACTGGGGAAAGCATGTGGGGACCAGAGCCATCTCCCACAAGATTTAGCAGATCATACCTAAGGCGGGAGACCCAGAGGGGTGCCCATTGGCCAAATCTGCTCAGTCCCTGGCTTGTTGCACCCTGGGCCTCAGTTTTCCCATAGGTGGCATGCAGATGGACATGGGAGGTCTGCGCTTTCCTATCAATGCAGAGTGGGTTGTCTGTGCTGGAAGGATCTAGGGTCTGATGGCTATTCCACTAACACCTCATGAAAGAACAAGAGCTGTGGGTCAGACATGAGGGACCAAGTCTCTGTCTTTCCTGCTTCTGGCTGTGCAGCCTCAGGCTAGTTTTTCAACCTCTCTGTGGCTTTCCTCATCTGCTCAGATGGGTAGCTCCTCCTGCTGAAGGGCTGTGGGGATTTGCAATGCTGGGTACTGGCTCTGAGATCTCAGAAACCAGCCTCTAATTCCAGCTCTAGGACCTGGAACAGCTGACTTCCTCTCCAGCTTCTGCTTCTCCCTCTGTAAAATGGGCCAGCAACAGAGCTGACCTAGTGGTGGGTGGCTGGTGGGGGCACCCAGTCACTTTCCAAGAGCCCTAGGGTAGCAGAAAGAAGCCAGGTTTCCTTTCTATTGCCCTTTCTTGTGAGGCTGCAGCAGAGGGATGTCTGTCTCTGGCAGGGCTCCCCCCGCCGCTGAACCTGACCTGGTCCAGCTGCAGGGCTGTGGGGACTAGTGTGTGGTTTCAATGGAAACCCTGGCCTGCTTGCCACAGGGAGGCCTGCTTGAGGCACAAGGGAAGGAAAGTAGCTGGGAGATTTGCAGGACGAGCTGCTGGGTGCTATCTTCCTACATAGTGGTTGGGCACACAGTGTGGCTGACATTCACTGTCTTCCTCTTTCCACACAGGAGAGATGGATCCTCTTTCTCCAAGGCCAGACCTTGGCTTCTACACCTTGTCCCTTCCAGCACTCGGCCCCATGTGCAGCCTTCCTGTACTAGAAGGCTGCTCTAGGTCCTGGCTTGCACACCCCCTGTGACGGGGAGCTCATTCCCTTACCAATAAACAGTGACAGGTACTAGGGAAATAAATGGGCATCTGACTCAGGTTCAAATTCTGGTGCTCCCCTTACCTGCATGATGACAACGACAGGCGAGTTTGCTTCTAAACCACCCCCTTTCCTTTTAATGACTTCCTCTATGACTGCTTCTGCTGCTGGTGACATTGTTTTTAGGTCACATCCTTTCTCCTAGAAAGGCTTTGATTCCCTGGGTGAGCAGTGTTCCTAATGACTCAGGCCTCTGAGCCTCCCCTTTATTCTGAGGCCTGTGTCTTTCCAGAGAGGTATAAACTGTACCAGACACAGAGCCCAAGGCTGGACACATCTCTCAGGCCCAGCTCAGCCTGTGACCTGAGATACCCCACCCCTGCCTGGCTCTGTCTCTCCAGAACTGGGTCATGAGTCAGGGAAGGAGCGGGTGGCAGCAAGCTACAGACCTGACTTCCCTCAGCTCTGGCCCTCAGTCTACACATCTGTGAGACAGGTTGGCCAGTGACCCCCTCCCCCAACCCAGTACTCTTTAGACAGAATGACTGATGCACCCACTGTATTTGGGGCCTCTAGCTGAATCCCACAGGTTGTGACCTCTGCAGCCACCCCAGCCATTGTAGGAGGTGACCTCCCTCATTCTGTGTGCAGAAGAGGGTGCAGTGAGAGCCAGAGGCTTTGGGCAGCCCTGCCCTCTTGATTCCCAACCTACGGGAGACCCCTGCTGTCTGCGCCACTGTACTGGAATCTTCTTCCTTTTCCAGGGCCCCCGAGGACCAGATGGACCAGCTGGGGAGCAGGGATCCAAGGGCTTGAAGGTACCAACCTCCTGACCTGTTCCTCCAGTATCTACTCCCACCCCTGGATAGCAGGGAGGCCCCAGAACAATGTAGGAAATGTCTCCAACCCTCTAGCCTCTTGCAGCCCAGAGCAAGAGGAAGCGGGGGAAGGACAGTGAATGAGGTGACCTCTGCTCTCCCCTTCAGTAGGAAGTGTCCTTGGTTCTTGACCCTAGCACCTCTATGGGGACTGTGGCAGCCACCCCTAAGTGTTCCCATGGGCATTGGGTTGGGGAGGTCATGGTCTCTTGGGCCCCCCTTTCTCTCTGTGAAGGGTCCTCTACATGCTGTACTCCCCTCAGGGCCCTGCAGGACCTCGGGGAAGACCTGGCCAGCCAGGACAGCAGGTACGTCAGGCCACAGTCATGCTAGGTCCCCATCCTACCCTGTGTGTTATGACATATGGCTGTAATGACCCCTATTGTGCTTCCAGGGTGCGGCTGGTGAGCGAGGCCACTCAGGCCCACGAGGCTTCATCGTAAGTAGTGATTGTTCTGGAAACCCTCAATGTGGGGCTTTGGGACTGGTGGGGCAAGATCACCATGAGCGCCTGACCTTCATGGGAACCCACAGGTGCCCTGCAGCCCTGTCTCAGTCATGTGGATGGAGTGGGGTCAGGCAGTATGAGGAAGGCCCTAAGAGACTGAGGTCACCTGTGTCTTTCTCCACAGGGCATCCCTGGTTCCTCAGGCCCTCCAGGTGCCAAGGGCCTCCCAGGAGAACCGGTAAGCACTTGATCCTCCTCTGGCACCTCTCACACCTTTGCCCTGAAAGGTTGGTCCTGATCTGACTGTAGCAGGGACTATTGGCCAGGTAGACAGTTGGGGAGGGGTGGAAAGAACAGGGTGGGCCTAGCCTGCAGGGACTGGCCCCAAGCTCTAGAGTGAGTCTTGGCTCCCTTGTACTTCAGTCCATTGCTAACTGGGGATAACTGGCTCTCTCTCAAAGTGGTTATGAAAATGTGTAAGTGACCGAAATAAATGTGTGGAGGGGGCACTTAGCACCCAGAAAGTTAGAAGGAAGGAGAGGAGAGAGGCAGGACAGGGAAAGGAGAAGTAACCACTGACCCATGGCTTGCCCTCCAGAAGATGCCCTAAGGGATGGACTTGGGGAAGGCTCAGGTGTCCAGTGTCCCTGTGAAGGCTGCAGGGAGCCAGGCAGCTGAAGTCCCAGGAAAAGCTTTTGAACCCTGGATGGCCCAGTGAGAGCTGGGGCTGATGGAGAGAGGGCAGAGCAGGCAGAGGGTACCATGAGCAAGGTTCTGGTGCTGGGCTTTGTGAGTGGGGCAAAGGGGTTCAGATGGGTGCATAGAAGACCCTGGAAACAGGTGAAGAGGAGCTGCAGATGACTGGGGTGTGGTCTGTGGGTCCTCCCTTCACTCACTGTGTCAGACTGTATGACCCAGTTTCAGACTTGAGATGTGACCCAGGCTGGCATCTCCTAACTGTCTATGGTGTTTGTCTGTCTACAGGGTTCTCAGGGACCTCAGGGCCCAATCGGCCCTCCAGGAGAGATGGGACCCAAGGTGAGTGCTGAGGGGCCCTTGTCTGTCCTTTGTTGCTGCTGGGGGCATCCAAGCCCTCGTGGTCAGAATTCCTGACTGCTGATTGGTCCCCATCCTGACCTAGGGAGATGGACAGGTATAGGGTACTGCAGAGTGGAGGGTAGAGACCCATCAGACAGCGAGTCTGTGCAGCACACAGAGTGAAGGACTGGGAACTAGCCTCACAGCACTGGGTGGAACCTAGGATCCTCATGGTGGAGCCTCCCCAACCTTCTGCTTTGCTAAACCTGCACTCCAGCACAGAGCTGTGAGCAGAGATCCAGTCTGCTGAGCGACCTCTTCCCACCCTGGTCAACCTGGCCCAGCTGCAGGAAAACCCAAGGGCCTACCACTGGCTTCTCCCCCCAACCCCCCATCCCCAGCCTCATGTGAATCATGAATTTTCCTCCCCTGCCTGCCAAGGGCTCCTGTGTGGTAAGCCACACTCATGGGCAGGCAGAGGGTCTGATGGCTACTGGGTGGTAATCAGTCTCTGCCTGCCTGCACCAAACCACCACCCCCCATCTTGTCAGCCTGCACCCAATCCCCCTAGTCTTGCCAAGACTCGGGAACCACAGCCTATTTTCACTTCAGTATCTTTCTGCTGTGTGACCTGAGCACATCCCATGCCCTCTCTGGGCCTCGGTTCTGTTCTCTCTTCAACTGCCTAAAGCTGGGGCCAACCCTTGCCCAAAGAGAGACCAGTGGCATTTTCTTGCAGGGGCCTCCAGGTGCAGTGGGAGAGCCTGGCCTTCCTGGGGACTCTGGGATAAAGGTGAGGCGGGATGAAAGATGGGAAAATGACTTGTTGACACTAACCACCAGCTGGCAGCCTCATCTTCTCCATGGAAGTGAAACAGGCCTTTCTTGTGCTCTGGATAATGAGGTCTCTGTCCTGCCCAGGGAGCTGGCCTAACATGGCCACAGTGGAGCGCCCAGCCAGCCTGGAGCCCCTCGCCACCCCCTACCCAGCTGTGTTTTCTCTGGCACCTGTCCTGGTTTCTTGTTGGGGTAGCTACCTCTCACAGCCTGCGTGATACCATCAGCACCTGAGCACAGGTGCCCTTCATTACTTGTGGGGGCATAGGCAACCATTGATCCCTGAGCCCCCCACCCCTGCTCTGCTGTTAAGAGGAGGACCCTGCTCACCCTGTAGGCCTAGGAGCCCAGGAGCTATGCAGCTATGCTAGCTGGCTGAGGGCATGGCTGAAGCCAGGCTCAGAGGCAGCTACTGAAGGGCTATGAGACTGGAGGCCGACCACTGCCTGCCCTGTGGCTCAGTGTCCTGCCATTCAGAGGGAGCTGGACTAGGGCTGGGACTACCAGTGTTGGCTCAGCTCTGACTCCCTTTGCTCAGGCAATGAAGACAGTCACCTGCATATAAAACAGACTTGACTGGGCTATTCCAGATGGAGCAAGGCTGGGGCACCAAGCTCCTCTTCTTGTGCCCAGACACTAGCAGGGAACATGACTTGCAAGTCCCCAGATGAGGGACCCTTGGAGGCCTTTCGGGGGGTGGGGGGTGGGGGGGAAATACACATTCTGGATTTCTCTTTAGTCAGTTTCTTGCCAAATCTCAAGGTAGAGTAAAGATGGTATTCACCAGAGCTGACCCCTGTGGCTTATGTTTCCCCGGCCTCACTGCCTGGTTTGGTCTTGAATATGTCATCAGACGTAGGAGTCCCATTCAAGTCTGGGCTAATTTCTGAAAGATGACACCTCTCCTTCAGGTCGTTGCAAAGGTCCAGCACATTCAGATGGAAATGTGCTTAGAACAGTGCATCATCTTCAGTGATGGTGATGATGATGGTGAAGCAGTAATGATGGTGTTTGGTGGTGGTGATGGTGGTAAGGGTGATGGTAGAGGTGATGGAAATGCAGTGATGATAGTAGTGATGATTGTGATGTAGTGATGATGGTGAGGATGATAGAGGTGATGGCAGTGATCATAATGCTGATTGTGATGGTGGTGGTGGTGGTGGTGGGGACGATGGTGGTAATGGTGGTGGTGATGGTGATGGTGGTGGTGGTGATAGTGGTGGCCCTTCTGCCTGGTACAGGAGAATCCCATGGCCAGGGCTGACTTGGAACAGGGGTTTTGATTGGTGTTTTAGAATGTCTCCAGTCTCCTTGAGGAGAAAGACCTTTCCCAGATCCTTCCCCTCCTGTCCAAGTCAGAGCCAGAAATAAGTTCCAGTGAGGGCTAGGCTGGCTATACTCACCCACATAGACTTGTATTTGGCTTCTCCTAGGGTGACCTTGGACCTCTGGGCCCCCCTGGGGAGCAAGGCCTCATTGGGCAGCGGGTAAGTTGGAACACATTTTCCTTTTCGAGCCCCCAAGTTGTGAGCAGTGAGAAAGAGAAAAGCTTGACTCAACCTCCCTGGGCTGGGATCCCAGTTTTCTCCACTGTAGAAATAAGCCAGGAATCTCAACAGCCTGTCCAGTCTCCCTTGGGAGGCAAGGATAGAGGAAAGGATTCTGTGGTCACAGTGTGTTGAGTCCTACTGTGTGCTTATACAGTAACAGCTATGCTTTCAAGGTTCAGAGAAGAACTGCAATCAAGAAACTGATTTCTTCTGGATTAACTCAGTGCCTCCAGATATACTAAATGTCCAAGTGCTTTCCTTAGGACCTGTGTAGCCTCACCTCTGTCCTACAGTTTTCCTTCTCCTTTCCAAAGGAGACCCACATGGCTTGTGTGGCTTTAAGGTGCCCCATGTGGCCCTATGTTTGCCTCTCTGTGTTCTGGGCCATGTGAGGACTCAGCACCTTATAGTTGGAACAATGTGGCCCAGGAGTGAGAGAGTTCTTGTGGTTGGTCTCCAGAGCACCAAGCCCCCAGTCCCCTCTCCTTATTTCCCATTGTGTCTTCTGTTCGATGCTTCTTGCTCTACAATCTCAGTCTCCAGAGGTTCTAAAAATGAATCAAGGCAGAGTGAGGAGGGAAGACCCTGGGGCAATAGAGAAACCTGTGGAGCTTAGAGCCTGAGCCAAGTGTGGCCCAAGATTGATTAGCAGAGTCTACTTAGAAGGCTGTGGTAAGAAGGTTCCTGAAACCCCCGACTAGGCTCACTAGGCTCAAGAGACAAGTGAGTGCCCCTCTGACATCCGCTGTACATCAAACACAATTTCTCACAGCCTCAGGGCATGGCAGTGAGTAACAGAAGGCCTATCTCATGGAGCTTATGTTCCAGTGGATCCATTAGTGATGTCTGCCACAGGTACAAGAAAATCAGAATTTACATGTTTGCCATTCCTTTGTCATCCCTGCATCTGATGATTCCGGCTCTGCCTCTGGGCATCCTTGAATTCTAAAACCTGAAGGAGATGCATATTTGGGTTGACAGCTGTTTAGAGGACTGTTTTTGGATCTGGGAGGACTAGGAAGAAGGGACAGCCTAAGCTGCGGCATTTTTACCACCTTTCTCGAACTTGCCTGTGATATCCGAGGCCTGGCCTCACGTTCCTCATCTGTGAAAGGGCTTCTAGGAGGGCTTACTCCAGCACCCATAACAATGTCTCAGGCAACTGCCACCTGGGTAGGGCATGCCCTTGAAGGAAATGGTGTTGACTATATTTCCCAGGTAAAGAAACAGGGGCCCATGGGATCAGTAGTCAGCTTATGGTCATACAGGCATTGGTGATGCTGAGTTTGGCTGGTGTCAAAGCCTGCTCCTGCCCACCAGCCCACACTGCTTTCTCTAGTCCAACCAGTAAACCTGGAGGCTCTGTGGTCTCTCTCCTGCCCTGTGAAAATCCACTCCTTCCACCCCTGAGAGCCGAGGGCTTCCTGCCCCAGGGAGGGAAGGGAAAGCCCCCTGAACCTTCCCCAGTAATGCCTCCCCATCTTTCTCTTCCAGGGAGAGCCAGGCCTTGAGGGAGACCTTGGTCCTGTGGGGCCCGACGGGCTGAAGGTTAGCATGCATTTGGGACAGGGTGTGGGGGCAGCTTTCAACCCAGTTCAGTTGTCACAGAGCACAGAGGCCCACTCTGCTCCTGTGGACAGCAGTGGGGAGGGTCAGTAGTGTCCCGAGGCTGTCCTTGTTTTACTCACTCACTGCCAGCTCCCATGAGGCTAAACCTAGTGCCACCTTGGGCCTTTACGCTCTTAGGAAAACACCAGCCTCTGTCACCATAGCCCATACCCAGAACCAGGGCTTTGATATCTGTTCCCTTCCAAACATCCTCAAAGATTTGGAAAGTTCTGATCACAACTAGGGGTCTGTAAGACATCATTTAGGGGGACTGGTCACACAGGTGCCAGGTACTATGCTGAGCCCTCTGTGTGTCACCTCCATTGGTGTTAACAGAGAGGTTCCATCTTTAGATAAGGAAGCAGACTCAGAGCGGTTAGAAGCTTGCTTAAGGATACACAGCAAATATCTACACATCTAACACTCAAACCTAGGCATTTCGGACTTCAAAGCCCCTTCTAGCTCTACAACATGCAGGAGACACACAGGGGGGAAGGGAGGCAGGAAGAGTTCAGAGTCTGTGGCTCTGAGTGCAGGATCAGTGACTCTTGGGTACCTCCGAGGGCCCTGCTGCTTCCTGTGGGAACTGTGGACTCTCACCTGAACTGCAGGTCTACAGGTGGTGGATGGAGGCTGCCTTTCTCCTCTCCTTTCCCACATGCAGCCCAGGCCCAGTCCTGTCTCCATCTTGACCCAGCCTAGGTCCCACAGGTAGACTTTCTCCAGGGCTGATCTAGTCATACCTTATGAGTCAGCTCTGAGGTCCCCTCTCACTCACACACAAATTCTCTGAGCCTCAATTTCCTATCCCTAGACCTCAGTCTCCACGCCTTGACCTTCCCCACAGTTGCCCTGGGACCAGATAGCCCTTTGCTCAGGGAGCCTCGCTAGCTCTTGTTTTTCTTGCAAGTGAGAGAGTGCCCCCTGTTGGTCACATGCCGACTTGCGCTTAGCCCCAGCCCTGCTGTCTTGGAAGTGCTGTGTGGAGTCTACTAAAAGCCTTTCTGGGCCAGGTGCCTGCTACACCTGTGGCAGTGCTTATAATCCTTGTGGCTCAAATACTATGTGTGCAAGGGACGCCAAGCACTACACACCTTAAGGTCTTGGTGTGAATTAACCCATTCAGGCCACCCCAGCGAGCTCTCAGCTGAAGCATGTGCATCCCACTGGAGAGATGAAATAATTGAAACTTGAGGCCGCAGCCTCCTCCCCCTCTTCCCCTCCTGGAGGCTTTGTCCCGGGAACAGGGGGGCAGGTTCAGACTTGACTACCTTACACAGTCTCTCTACCTCTAGGAAGCACAATTCTTGCCTCTCACTGGTTTCATCCTACCTCTATATCCTACCCCTGTCCTTGGACCACAGTGATCACTCAGATGCCCAGTGCTTTCCTGGTCCTCACATGATCCCAGGAAAGACTGCTTTCTGTGGTGTGTGTCCAGGAATCCCCTCCATGGCAGCACGGTGCCCACCTGCCTCATGGATGGGCGCAGCACCTTAGAGTGCACCCATGTGCAGTATCTGTGTGGATGATGACCACAGCAGCAGTCACACAGGGCTCACTGCCAGTGGATGTCCTGAGCAGCATGCAGGGTCTCTCATGTTAGTTTACAAACGAGGAGGCTGACCAGGGTAGCACAGTATCACCTGGGTATGAGGGCAGCTCTGTCCCCTAAGCTCAGGTCCCTTGCTCTCCTTGGGTGCTGTTACTTTCTTACTGGGTGGTGCTGTTGGATTCACCCCTCAAGCCTCAGTTATCCCATCTGTGGACTGGGAGTGTTGAGCCAGGCCCCTTAGAAAGTTCTCTGAGTCATGGCAGATGTCATGGATTCCAGGAGTCCACAGGGACTCCTACAGCCCATTCACAGGGTCCACAGCACCCCTACCCAGTTGTGTGGGAGCCAGGCCATGGACAGGGTAGGTATCCCTGGGAGCCTGGTTCTGGACAGGGCACAGGCCTAGCCTGGCCACCTGGAGCAGGCTGCCTACTGCTGAGAAAGCAGGTGGCCAGGATAAGAAGCCAGGAGCAGAATCCCAGAGCCAAGGGAGTCTTCGAGAACATGCTCTGGGTTAGCCAGTCTCTGAGCCAGACTGTGCTTGGAATCTGAGAAGCTCAGTGAGAGGGACCATGGAGCCCATTCTGCTGCCCAGCTCAACTCTGCACTGGCCTGCACAGTTGGAAGTGTCCTCCCTCATGTGCCGTCTATGGCTGTCCCCCAGGCTGAGCTAGGAGCTGCCACAACTCCCCAGGCCAGTCTCATTCCCCCACAAGTCAGGTTCCAGCCATCACATCCAAATCCCCAGCTTCTCCCTGGCTAAGCCAAGCCAGACTCCACCTGCCCCCCAACCCCCGCCACCCACCCATACTTGTTCTAGCTGTCCGTGCATGGTTGTCAGCTCTCCTAAGTCTGCTCTCAGCCCTCCTCTTCCTTTCCAGGGAAGCTTATGTCGTTTCTCTCTAGGGGGCTTCCCTGAGCAGTCACAGCTAGACCACATATAAATGTGTCAAAAGCCCTGCTGTGATGGAGCCTGCCTCTCACTGCAGCCACTGCCAGAGCTGTAGACCACACTCTGCCCAGCTCTTCCTAGGGCATGAGAGGAGACAGTAAGGAAGCAGGGCATGCTGAGATGTACCCATGACTTAATGCACAACCGGTGCCCCCAGAGAACCCAAAACATCTGTGCCTTGAGCTCCTGAAGCTCATGCAAGGGTTTCCATTGCACAAACAGATCTTCAGGGTCTCCCACTGTCAGTTCTGGGGAGACCTTGCTATACCTCCTAACTCATAAGAGCACCTCCCTTGGAGCGCCCCTTCCCGGGAAATGGCCAGTAACTTGGTGCTGACTGCAGATTCTAGCTGCACCCCAAGAGGTGGGACTTGGGGCTAATGGCGTGACTTAGCTCTGCCTGAGTCTCTTCATCTGTAAGATGGGCCCAAAGGAGTACCTCCCAGGAAAGGCTCTGGTGAGGATGAGGTCAGTCAGTCTACGTAGAAACCTCAGAGCACAGTGCAGATAGGAAAAATGTCACCCAGGTCTTGTGGAATGCACAGGACGCTGTGCCCTGTGGGATGATGGCCATCAAGATGGGCAGCAGAGGGGGGACAAGGCCCAGGTGGAAAGACCGTAGGAAAGACAGGCCACACAAGGCTTCTAGAACTCTGCTTGTTAATAACCAACTCCACTACTGCAGACGGCATCGCTGCAGCAAGCGGCCACATAGTGACCCAAACAGTTACCTAGGTCCCCGCGTGGTGGCTCATGCCTATGGCACCCAGGAAGCCCAGGCAGGAGGATCTTGAGTTTAAGGCCAGCTCGGGCTCTGTGAAGAGACCCTGTCTCAAGCCAGCAAGCAAACAACTGTCAAACTTAGTTCTGTTATTCTCCCCGTAGACTGTTTTTATATGAGTGAGGGTTGCAACGCAGCTCAGAAAAACTGGCCATGGTTGGCCTCTGTGATCCCGGGGGTGAAGGTCCTCTCCAGATCAAAGCTCTTGTCTTCCCTGAATGTCTGGGTAGGAGAGGTGACTTAGCCCCCAAAACCTAGCCCCTTTTGTGGCTTGCATGGTAGCTGCTGTTAGGAGCCTGGTGTCTCTCTGAGAAGCAGGACAGTAAGAAGAACAGAGCAGGGGTGGCCCTGTGTCAGCCAGGCCACACCAGCCCCAGACCCTTTAGCAGCTCAGGGCACTGTGGGGTGTGCAGGGTGTCTGGCTGCTGGCCTGGAGGTGGCCTGAAGTGTGGGGCTCTTGTTGGTCTACTGGCTAATGTATTCTCTCTTTTCCTCCTGCCCCCTGCCCCAGGGGGACAGGGGTGACCCAGGGTCTGATGGTGAGCGTGGTGAGAAGGGCCAGGAAGGGCTGAAGGGTGAGGACGGGCTCCCTGGGCCTCCAGGCATCACGGGCATCCGGGTGAGTAAGCAGCTGCTGGCAGTATGGGGCTCTGGGTACAGAAAACTCACATCCGCCTAAACCTCCTGAGTGGTCCTTTAGCTCCTTATGCCTCACTGGGGAGTTTGTTCCAGCCCTGTTCTGCCGTCTTGTGGTCCCCAGTGCCCACAGGACAACCTCTGTCACTGTGGCCCAGACATCCTGCCCTGTAACCTCATCCCATCCAACCGTATACCCAGCTTCACCATTTCCTTCACTTCTGGGATAAACTTGACTCTGTCCCTGGGCCTTTGCACCTGCTCATCTCTCTGTCTAGGATATTCTTCCTTCTCCATCCTCTATATTCCCCCATGTGCCTTCAACTGACCTCACAGACATCCCCTACCCCTAAAAGTCATCCCTGATCCCAGCCCAGGTCCCCAGCCTTTAGGGCCATTCAGAGTCTCCGAGAAGGCCAAGGCTTTGTGAGCTTTAAAGTTACATCTGTCACTTGACACCAGGGATCAATAAGATGTTGACTGACAAGGCAGAAGCTCTCCCCCTCGCCTTGGTTGAACATTATTCTCTCTGACCACAGACATGAGTATCTTCCCTTGGCTGGGTCCCCTGAGACTGAAGGGTTGCCCTGGGCCCTACAAGTCTGTTAGAGAAGGAAAGGAATTACTCTGTTTCAAAGTCTAGAAACAGCATGCCCAGACTTTTCCAGAATATGCCCTCCTTAATTAGATAGTAACCCTGAGGACTCGAAGACGCAGAGAAGTAAAGGAACTTGCCCCAGGTCACACAGTAAGAAGCAACAGAGCCAGGATTTGAACCCAGGTCTGCTTGACTCTGCACATGTATCCTGTCTCTCTGCTGTAGCCCCTCTGGAATACAGGGCCTGGACATAGGACTTCGCACTCGGGTGGTGGGTGGGATATGCTGATATTTGGTTGATGGCTTGACTCTAGCAGGGCCAGGGGTGTGTTCCACAGTGGAACAAGACTTGAGTGGCTAGTTCAGTGTCCTGTCGGACCCAGGGGATCAGTCCACCCGAGTGACAGGCCAGCCAGGCATCAGCACCTTCTCCCTGGGCTGGGTGCTTCTCTGCTGACCCCATACATGGAGAGAGTCTTGTCCTTACCTGGGCCCAGCAGCCCACATTCCTTCTTGTCTGCTCTTGACATCTGTTGTCCCTCTTGGCTGTTTATGTGACCGACCTGGGAGAGATCCAGATTAGCCAGCAGTACACTGGCCATGGGAAAGTATTTGTTTCCTAAAAATAGAACCAAAGTGCTAATTGCCCTCAGCAGTGAGGGAATGAGCTCACTGCACCCTGCCCGAAGACACAAGCAGCATGCTTGCCAGACCCACTCTGCTTGCTGCAGCCCTGGGGATATGGGCGAGGTGGACTTTAGCAGCAGGAGACTGGCCCTTTACTAATTTGCTGTGTGACTTTGCATTTGCCTCTTGCCCTCTCTGGCCTCGCCCTTGTCATGATGAAATATTTGGAAGGATATATCAAGATTATTTTGAGTTCTGATGTCCTAGGGCCACTTTCCTAATGAGTTTGTGTGTTTCCACTGTGGGATGATCAGCAACCAACATAGAAATATCCTTAGAACTCTAGTCCGAAGATTGAACCTGAGTTTTTGTCTTGAGCAACCCTCCTTCAGTGTGACATTAGGCAAACAGCTACCCATCTCTGAGTCTTGATTTTCTCAGCTCTGAAGGGAAAATGAGGAGCTAGGGAGATGGTCCAGTGGGTAAGGGCACTTGTTCTGCAAGCATGAAGACCTGAGTTCCAATCCACAACACCCAGAGAAAATGTCTGAATATGACTGTAACCCCAGTGCTAGGAGATGGAGACGGGCAGATCCTGGGGGCTCAGTGTCCACTCAGCGTAGCCAAAATGGTGACCTGGTTGAGTGAGAGAGCCTGCCTCAAGGCCATGGGAGGGAGAAACAGTAGAGGGAGACACCCAGTGTCCTCCCCTGGACTCTGCATGCCCCCACACGGGGGGGGTGCACTATACACACATACATACATGAGAGAGAGAGAGAGAGAGAGAGAGAGAGAGAGAGAGAGAGAGAGAGAGGGAGAGAGAGAGAATATGAGGATTTGGGCTATAGGTCAATGGATAGAATGCTAACTTAGCATGCACGAGGCCCTGGCTTCCACCCCCAGTACCACTTAAACCAGACAGGGTGTCACATACCTGTAGTCCCAGCATTTGGGAGGTGGAAGAGGAGGCTCAGACATTGAAGGTCATCCAGCTACATAGTGGGCTTAAGGCCAGCCTGGGCTACATGAGTTCCTTTCTCAAAGAGTGATAGACAGAGAGAGAAGGAAACTTTTAATAAGAAAGGTCTTTAGCAAATGCACAGAAATAGGAGAGCTTGGAGGAGGAAAGGCCTAAAAGGTGGTGATAGGGGAGTGGGCTGTGCCCATGGTGGCCACACAGCAGTGTGAGGTTGGTATTCGACAGTCACTCCCAATTCTCACAGGAGCATCTCCAGGCTGTGGGCACGAGCTCTGCATTTGAGCTTATTTGGCATCAGGACTTTGGGAGGAATGTTTCCTGCTCTGTATCCTGGAATAGCTGCTTTCTTGAAAATAGCCTTTTACAAGCCATCAGGGCCTTTCCAGAAGTGTCTATGATTACACACTATGTGATGATGTCCTCCAGGGACCACACATATCCTAATGGTCTCATAAGATCGTATGTCTTAGTTTATATAATTGTTCTGTGATGCACATGCCATGCCCAGACTGCCTAGAGGCACAATTCTCAGCTGTGTCCCCAACAGCAGGTGCATGCCTGCCTGTGGATGGGACCCAGCAGAAGTCTCCATACCAACCCTGGCCTTACCCTCGAGGATCTCAAGGTCCCACCACAGTGTCCTCACAAGTGGAGGGGCCTCCCTCAAACAGGCACCCTGTCCCTGAAAAGACATGGTTCCACTCCCATGCCCATGCATCCAGTGCTGAGATGTTCCACCTAGGTAGTGTACAGTGCCTAGGCCAGAGTGAAGGTCACAGGGATTGTTATTGGAGAAGCAGGGGCCTTGATATTGCTTAGTTGATGCTGTGAGGCAGAAACAGAACTAGTCATGCATGTAATTAACACAGGTGGGATTACATTAACTAACATTTCTTTAGCTGAGCAGATCCAAAGTATTTCAACACATAATTAACATTTAAAAATCATTAATGGGACTGGTAAGATGGCTCAGTTAAGGATTGGGTGTAGCATTTACATTTAATTTTGAATTAAAGTTCAGTAAAATGAAGACTTTGGTTCCTTGGTCATGTAGCTGGAGGCCACATGCTGGGCAATGTAGGACCAGCCCAAGACCTTGATGACAGGTGGGGAAACTGAGGCCCAAAGAAAGGTCAAGATTGGCGATGATCGCACAAGGACTCAAGTGCCAGGGATCTGTGCCTGATGAGGGCTGTAGGGTGGGGTGTGTACATCCTTCTCTTTGGGGTACACTGGTACCGTGTTATGTTGTGTATTTGGATCAGGCTAAATCAAAGCTGTCTTTGCTGTACATTCCGTGCCCGACCACCTCATTGAACATGGCCATTCTTGCCCTGGAGCAGCTGCAAAAAGCTAAAGACAAGAACCAAGGCCCTCTACATTTACTTGGGTGTCTCCTTGTCCCTTTGGGACCTCCCCTCCAGTCCAATTAGTCAAAAAAAGGGCAGTTACCTCCTTTATCTCACAGCTGTACCTCTGTTAATGCAGCCAGAGGAACTGAATCAAATCGGCTCTTTGGTGCTTACCAGGGGCGAAGCTGTACATTCTGGCTTTGTTGATGCTCACAGCCTGGAAGTCAGTCCTTTCAGTCCTTGGCCTTAAGTGCTGCTCAACCCATTCATTATATCCCAGCCTTAGTAGGGTCTAGGAACTGCACTTTCTTTCTCTGTCTTTGTGCGCTCACTGCTGAACAACAGTTTCTCTGACAGATGTGAGCAAGGGCCAGAGTGACCAGTCAGGGAATGGCCTGGGGACCTGGGAGGTAAGGCTCAGTCTCGGCACAATGATCACTGTGAGGAGGCCCTCAGGGAGCATACAGAAGTCACAGGGATAGGGACAAGACCACAGGCTCGGTGACTGCATCAGCCAACCTCACACCAGTGGTGCCTGGGAGAAGCCGTCCCCTAAGGACTGGGGTAGTTGTCTGTGAGGGAAGTTGGCAGCAGTATGGGACAGTATGGGGCACAGGCAGGTCTCAGCACAGAGTTGCCAAAACTGTGACAGCAGTGGAGGCAGCAGCAGATCTTCCACCTCTGCAAAGACTCCTTTGTTGTTCTGGACACCCGCCATGGCTGACACTGCTTTGAGTGTGTCTGTGTCCCCGAGTCAAATCCTTAAGCTCCATGAGGCCATCTGAGGTGCTGTCCCCAGAATCCAAACCAGGATGCCAGCCAGGAAGTTGGGTTGCACTCAAGGTCACACAGGGACCTAGTGACTTCCTGCATTTGGAACCAGGCGTCCGCCTCTGGAGCTTGCTGTCTGAGTACTGCTTGGTTCTGCCTTAAGTCCCTCAGTCTTCACTTTTCTCCTGCTTTTGCCCCTTGTGTCCTCTCAGGGTCCTGAAGGAAAGCCAGGCAAGCAGGGTGAAAAAGGCCGGACGGGAGCTAAGGTAGGTCCCTTGCCTGGTGAAGGTCACATCCCCCCACCCATCAGCTGGCTGGGTTAGCAGCCACAGGCAGCTTGTCTCTCTCCCTACAGGGTGTCAAGGGCTACCAAGGACAACTGGGAGAGATGGGTGACCCAGGAGACCCTGGACCTCCTGGCACCCCAGGCCCTAAAGGGTCCCGGGGCACCTTGGGACCAACGGTAAGGATCTGGGCTGGGAGAGGGAATGGGACATGAAAGGGAGACCAAGAGCAGGAAGGGGCACTAACTGCTCTGTAAGGGGACCACACACCCCAGCCAGCAGCTAAACCCCGTGACATTTCCTGTCCCAGCCACCTCATTTCAATTGTATCCCCCTTTGAGAACTGCCCAAAGCCACAACACTTGTACACACAGGGGCATGGCAGACAAAATGCATCTTGCAAGCTGCAGGCTGCCGTGGGTCCCTGGTGCTCTCTGTGGATCCTGGTTGATAAAACCCTGCTGAGGACTGGGCAAGGGGGAAGGTGCCAGATGTCTGGGGCCAGGGTGAAGTGCTGTAGATTCTTGATGGCTGAAGGAGTCCCAGGGCCTGCTGGGATGCTCTGAGGCATGGGCCTGAGGATTTGTCCACTGAGTGGGGAGAAGACCCTGGGAGCTGGCAGAGGCAGCAGTGAGTTGGCCTCTTTGATTGACTGGTACAGTACCCTTTGCATGGTGTGGAAGCTCTCATAGTGGTGGTTTCCTGCTGTAATAAACAGCATGACCAAAAGGGACTCAGGGAGGAAAAGGTTTGTGTGGCTTATAGGTTACAGTCTATCGTCGAGGGATGCCGAGACAGGAGCTCAAGGCAAGAACTGAAGCTGAGACCATGGAGGAACGCTGCTTGCTGGCTTGCTCGGCTCCTTTCCTATTCGCCTAGGCCCAGCGGCCATAGGATTGCACTGTCCATAGTGGGATGTGTCAAGTTGACACCAAGATTAGCCGTCCACAGGGGACCTCTGTTAGCTTTGGTTTTTGTGTGTTTGTTTTGGGACAGGGTTTCTCTGTGTAGCTCTGGCTGGCCTCAAACTCACAGAGATCTGCCTGTCTCTGCTTCCTGTGTGCTGGGACTAAAGGCATGAGCCATCACCACACCCAGTTTTTGTTTTAATAATATGGCTTTAACTGTAAGGCTCAGAACTTTGAACATTGACAGTGGCTTAGTTTAAGTGACTGTAAAGGTCCTGGGAGATGTCACCCATGTATTCATGAAGCACAGGCGCACCGAGAAGGAGGGACTGAATGGAGGCCTTAGACAAGGGTGGTCCTCTTGCCTTCCTCTTTCTCCTTGGTTTGAGGCAGTGTGGATGTGCCAGGCTGCTGGACTGAGTGTCTAGAGCCTGGGGAAAGAGGTCCCACTATATCCCCACTGTGGGAGCCATACTGCATGCTAATGGGGGTCTCCTCTCTAGGGTGCTCCAGGACGGATGGGGACCCAAGGAGAACCAGGATTGGCTGGTTATGATGTAAGTGACACTGCCTTAGGAAATCACCTTCCTACTCTCTGGAACTCTGTTCTAGCATCCTGGGCTCAGCCCCTGCCACGAGGCAGAGGTATGGGTCTCATAGCCTCAGAAGACTCTTGGATCCATAGATTAAAGTGGGGTAGAGGTGGAACTGCCCTCCTCACACATCCAGGGAATGACAGCTCAGAAAGGACAAGCTTGGTTAGAAAGGAATTAGGGGCTCAGAGAGGCTAGAGAACATGTGCGCATTGCTAGCAGCTTGGTACTTTGGGGTGTGGAATCTACACCAAAGCCTTGGTGGCTCTTGCCAGACCCAGGGACTGCAGGAGACCAAACAGGAAGGAGAGAAGAGGGAAGGCAAACTGAAAGGACAAAAGAAATGGAGTGGGAGTGCAGACTAGAGAAGGGTGCCAGCCCAGAGGTGCCTGCAACTGTGGGGTGGCCTCTGCCCAAGACTCTGCTGAGGCAGCTTTTGCTCTGTTCTGCCCCAGAGAGGGACAGCAGGGTCCCACTACCCAAGATGGCACAGCCTTGGAAGTATATCTAGGACCAGCAGGCATATCTGGAAGACCAGGACCTAAAGAGCCACAGGGTTGGCTCTGAGTCACCCAAGCTTTGGAGCAGAGATGAGACCCCTGTGTCCCCCCATCCCTGAGTCCCTGTTCTTTGTCACCTCTCCCTTCTGGGTCTCACCCCTCCTCACTTCTTTCCCTCTTGTTTTCCTGCAGGGACACAAAGGCATTGCAGGACCCCTGGGACCTCCTGGACCCAAAGGCGAGAAGGTAGGTGTTGGGTCTTGGAGCTGGGGCCAAGGTCAGCTCTGGGGCTTTGGAGTTGGGGTAGTGTAGGGGGGACCATGGAGAGTCACTTCCTATTCACAGTGGCCCCTGGGATGCCACCCTAAGGCCATTGTCATCGAGGCCATGCCCAGGACATGGGATCATCACTATGGACTGGTGGTGTCTGGGCCCAGCCCTGGAACAAAGTGGTCACCATCCTTACTCTCGTGGGCTCAGGGTCACCCAGCAGAAATGGACAATTGTATCATGATCAAGTCTGTGTTTTCCATTCATGAATGTAAATGGAGGCATTGAAACTGCACCAAGCTCACCAAGCGTGAGGGAGGAGAGACACAGAACAAGGAGAGGGCTTGGGAGGAAGGCGAGGACCTCGGGGATGTATGGCCTCCCACCCAGGCTCTGGAGATGAGAGAAATTGCCAGAAGAAACTTTACTGATTGTAAAGACTGCTCAAAGTAAGGCGCACAAGAAGAGCCTGAAGGTATAGGGATGGTCCCCTGGTTGTGTCCCCAGAATACAGCAGGCCTGCAGCCGGAACTCTGGGTTCCCCTCCTTTCCCTCCTCTCCTTCCTCCCCATCTCAGAGCCGGAAAACCTCCTAGCAGGCTGTGCCTCTGGCTCCTTGTCCCCCGATTCCCCAGCCTCCTTTCTTTTGCTGACTCAGCTTCCCACTAACTAAGCCCCGCTGTGGTGAGTCACACTGGCTTGGCATGCAATCTCTGGGCCCCTCCTCCTCCTGCCCAGAGGACTGCAGATCTACAAGCAGAGTGCCCTGGCATGGTCCCTGGAATACTGTGGGGAGCACCACTCAAGCCCTCCTCAACTCTTGAAACCTACCGAGGCTAGCACAGTGGGTGAACACAGACCTGGGGCCAGGAGGAGCCAGACCCTCCAACATTGTCATTTTGGGCCATTGGCAGCCCATAAGCAGACCCCATTAAAGCATACTGACACATGAGGGAGGGCTATGACATCGCCAGGTGACATAATGCTATTGAGAGTGTTATGTGCACAGCCCGTTGTTGGTGGAACCGTTGCACTGTGTCTTGTGACTGTCCCATAACGAACAGCTGACTAGCCAGTGCTGGGAGGGGAGAATAGGCTTCGAGAGTCACAAAAACCCAGGCACTGTTCTTTTCCCAGAATCCTCTCCTAGTGTGTAGGGGCCAGCACAGGAATAATGGTAGGAGGGTTCTGCCAGGCCCTGCTCCCCTAGCCAGAGCCGGACCCAGGGTTGGTACCTTGCTGCAAGAGCCCTCATGAGACTCTGTGCCCTGGGGGAGGGGGGGCGGCTGTGATCCACTAGCTTTCTAGTACTCAGATCTTGGCCCTCATTCCTCGGTGGCCCAGGCTAAGATGTTTTCTTTCCTGGGTCTCGGGATCCCCATTGTACAGTCCGGGGTTACTGTAGAATCTATGAGAAAACAGATGAAATAAACCTAACAGTACCTGGTGCAGACCCTATCAGTAAACCCTGGTGCCCGCTGAAGGTGCCTGGTGGTACTGAACATGGGGTCAACAAGGCGGAGCACAGGCAGGAAGAGAAAGAGCTGTGCCTTGGACCGGTGCTTCCCCCAGCTGGTTCTAGGCTCTAGGATGAGCCTTAGTTGCTGCCCATGGGAGCCACAAGGCCCCAGCTGAGGTGCACGAGTAGCAATGTTCAGGGCTGCGCTCCCAGCTCAAGACTGCCCACCTCCTCCTGCTCCTCAGGCCCCCTTCCAATCCTTGTGGGCATCAGGGGACTTAGAGTGCCCTGGCTCAAGTCCCCTGCCCAGAAGAGATCCCCAGGGGATGTGACACTGGCTCTCTGGGGCTGGATTCTGAGCCCTGAAGTTCAACCCTGCACTTAAACCATTTGTGTAGCCAGCAAGAGGTGTTCAGTCCCCTCATCCTGCATCTGGAGGGGCCTAGGGCAGCCTGCCTTGGTCCAAAGGTCTCCACTGTAGTCACTGTTCCTCTCCCAGACAGTCCTTGACGTCCATGTGACATATGACACTGCTGTCATTATTACTTATGATTATAGTTTCAAAGGCTGGTTTCCGTCTGCCTCCGTTTGGAGGCTGGGCCTCATTTCTGAGGCACCTTTCGGCCTTCAGTTCACTTAACTCCTAGGGTAAACTTTGCCTAAATCTGTTTCTGTGGTGTCCACAGGGGGAACAGGGAGAGGATGGCAAGGCTGAGGGCCCACCTGGGCCACCTGGAGATCGGGTAAGTTCCCCTTATGTCCTCTGTGCCTCTTGCTGTGGTCAGGGGCAAGCTGAGCAGAGCTGAGCTGCTGAGAGCCCACAGAGCACATGGTTCATATTTCCCCGTTGTCCCTGTCATTCAGGGTCCTGTGGGTGATCGAGGGGACCGTGGGGACCCTGGGGACCCTGGATACCCTGTAAGTATCAGAGCTCTACTTTTGGGGAGGGTTGGGGAGAGGGCAGCCAGCCTGCAAGGGCCATAATCTCCTCTCTGACAGGGAGGCAGGGCAGAGCACCTACTTTAAGAGGTCAGGACTTAGGTTAACAACACAAGGGGAAGGTCCAACCCTCCTGAAGGACAGAGGATGAGGTCAGGGAGAGAGACCATCCACACAGTGGGTTGGCTGAGTTTCCTTCCAGTAGGAGCTGGAGTAGTCCTTTCAGGTTAACACCACAAGGGGAAGGGCCAACCCTCCTGAAGGACAGAGGATGAGGTCAGGGAGAGAGACCATCCACACAGTGGGTTGGCTGAGTTTCCTTCCAGTAGGAGCTGGAGTAGTCCTTTCATCCCTTTAGCAGCTAAGAAAGCCAGGGCTCAGAGGGTCAATGACATGTGGCCGAGAGGAGCAGCAGTTCCCTGGCCACTTCAAAAAGGCCCTCATCTGTCTGTCTTTCCTTGGCTTTCAGGGTCAGGAGGGAGTTCAAGGCCTCCGTGGAAAGCCGGGCCAGCAGGGCCAGCCCGTGAGTGCTGTTTCTGTCTCATGCCCCTTTCCACAAGCAGAGTGAACCTCAGGAATGACAGAACTGAGCCCTTTAAAGCTTAAAGAGATCCACCTTGCAGAAGGATATGGGGGAGGCAGCCCCTTCTGGGTATTTTGTCCTGACCCTGGGGGCTCCCCCAAAAGCCTACACCCCCAAACCCCTCCCCAACCCTCCCTCTCCAGGCGGAGACTTGCCACCCTCCCCAGGAGAGAGGCCTGGGGTTGCCTTGCGTCATCTCACCTTGGTTTTCAGGGGCATCCGGGACCCCGGGGACGGCCGGGACCCAAAGGATCAAAAGGTGCAGAGGTGAGAGGGCTGGGGTTCAGCAAGGAGGCTGCGTCCAAGGGAGGGATGTGCTGGTCCAGGACCACATAGCCAGTGTGGACAGGGAGGTACTGACCTCCATGGGCCCTGCTGCCATCCACAGGGCCTGTGGGAAGGAGCCTCCTGCCTGAGTTCAGCCAGCAGGTGGATCTTAGTGTAGCCAGGACCCAAATCTATATTGCTACCGGGCTGCAATGGAACAGCGAGAACAGGGAGGAAGCCAGTCAGGAACAAAGGAGGGAGAGAGAAGAGACGGACAGGATAGTCTTGGAGGAGCCAGGCCCTGCTGTGGATTCCAGGCCCTCATCTCCCTCTGCTTGGCCTGGCAAAGGCCTTGCTCACCATGCCCCCTTGGCCCACATCCCTTGGGGAAAGCTCTACTCAGGACCATAGGCTCCACCCCTGAGCAGGAATGGACAAAGCAAAGCACAGAGCCTCGGAAGCAAAAGAGCCAGAGAGGGAAACTAAGTCCCCAAGCAGCAGAGACAGCCCCAGGTGACCCCAAGGGTGGCCCTGGCCCTGGGCTTCCAGGTTGGCAGCACATGTGGCTCTCTGTGGATCATACCCACCTATGGGGCCCACAATACTTCTCTCAGTATCTCCTCCCAGTCTCCTGAGTTCCACTAACTTGTAGCCCTTGCCTTTTCTTTCTTAGGGCCCAAAGGGAAAACCAGGCAAGCCTGGGGCAGCAGGTCGGAGGGGGACCCAGGTGAGTGGCTGTGGCTCCTGCATCAGCACCAGCTTCCACACTCTCTTGAGAGGGCTCACCAGCTTCTTCTGTACCCCCAGGGGCCACAGGGGCTGCCAGGACCCCGGGGTGTAGTGGGAAGGCAAGGCCCAGAGGGTGTTGCTGGACCTGATGGTATTCCTGGCAGGGACGGCCGGATTGGACATCAGGTGAGCAGAACTTTGTGTCACAACTGATGGTAGGGATTTGTACACACAGGCCACAGGTCTGAGGAGTCCTTTGGGAAACTGGGTGTCATTGGGGTTGGGGATCTTCATCCCTTGGGATCCTTCTCACAGTCTCTTCTTGATGCCAACCAACACCCAGGGTGGAGCCACTAGTGTTTAAGGTCAGCCCTGTCCCCATTCACCAAACCTCAGCTGTTTCTGGCCCTTGGTCCAACCATCTCCCACCCCCTGGCAGGTGTGACCTCCTCCTACTCTGCCTACAGTTCACAGGGGTCCTAGCCAGCACCCCCTCTTTGTCTGCCTCTTCCTAGAGCACAAGAGGCATCCCCCGTTTTCTTTACAGGGGGAGCAAGGAGACGATGGAGACCCTGGCCCCATGGGCCCTGCTGGGAGAAGAGGAAGCCCAGGTGTGGCTGGCTTGCCTGGAGCACAGGGGCCCCCAGGATTCAAGGTGAGGCCCCCTTAATCCACCCTTCCTGTCTTGGTCCTGATTACAATGGTACTGATTCTTTGAGCATATGTCCCAAGACCTATTTGTAAATGGAACTTTGTTTCGGGCTTCTCTCCGGGATCTCTCCGGTCACCTTGACCCTAGTTTAAAGGATGGTTTATCCAGGTGGCTATAAATACTGCCCCCTACTGGCCCTAGAAACCTTCCACTGCCTCTGAGTTGTCTATGGGCTCCCTCTGGTGGGCATTTATGGAATAACAGGTTGCAGAAGCTGCTATGAACCAGTCTGAGCCTAGGGCCAGTCCCTAAAAGCAAGGTGTGAATGAAGGACCCAGACATGGAGCTTTCCCTCTCTGAGTTCAAGGTCTAGTTAGGGAAAGGTTGGGGCTCCTTCAAGGGCAACAGGGAGTCAGACGATGGCCTTGAATCAGAGGACATTTAACAGAAAAGAAGGGTTCCCTTTATGGGTGAGGAGAAGTTTGGAGGTGCAGCCTTCGTGTTGTGTTGGTAGTGAAGAGTCTTGCTGGAGAGGAGAGCGGAAGTCAGAGTCAGGAGGGAGGCTTCCTCCAGGGGCTGTATCTCGGCCTACCCTATCCCCACATCTGTCCTTGGCTATCCTTAGATCTTAGAAGACCCCGTGGAACTCCAATTCTGATGCTCCTGGCTCCCCTCCTGTCCTGGAGCCATATTCCCTCTTGACTGGTGATTTTGATGTGTTTCTTTAAGGGTGAAAGTGGGTTACCCGGGCAACTGGGTCCCCCTGGAAAGCGAGGGACAGAGGGCGGAACAGGGCTTCCTGGGAACCAGGGGGAGCCAGGATCCAAAGGCCAGCCGGTGAGTGATTCCCAGGACATACACATGACCACAGACAAACAGACACCCCCACATACATAGGTACATACACTTGCACATACACACAATCATACAGACATGCTCACAATACACATACATTTGCATGCACACAGATTTCACATGTTCATACTCACACAAACACACATTCATCTTTACACATGCACACACAGGCCATGAAGCCACCTGTTTACCTGGTAAGAAGAGCAGAGCCACACAGACTCTCTGAGCACCAGATGCCATGCATACTCCCCTGAATGGAGGTGGTGGTGTTGGGGGGCCGGGGGGAGAGATCTGAACAGCCCACTCAAAATAGGAAGCAGAGGATCATGGGTACAACAGGGCTCTGTGGACTCCAGGGTCAGTACTCTTTCTGTACTACATTGCCTCCCCCCTTCCTACCTAGCTGCAACCTATGTAGCAGATATCTCAATGGCCCATGGATCAAAGAAAATAAGAAAACACTGTGTCAAAACTGGTAGGAGGTCGACCTAGCTGCAACCTATGTAGCAGATATCTCAATGGCCCATGGATCAAAGAAGAAATCAGAAGATAAATTAGAATTTTGAATTAAATGAAAATAAGAAAACACTGTGTCAAAACTGGTAGAAGGTCA